TAGCTTTGGTTTAGTCCAGTTGTGCTGACTTCCTCTGTAGTATGTGCTGTCCTTCCCTTCACCTAAGATAATTCTTGTCTACTATCTAGTTAGTGAATATCCCTCTCCCTCCCTCCCCACCCTCATAACCATCAAAGAATGTTTCCTTCTGTGTTTAAATCTTTTCTTGAGTTCTTACAATAGTGGTTCATGACTTAGTTTTTGAAAAACTTTTAAAACACCAACAATTAGCCCAGGCAGATGAAGCAGAGATATGAGAAAATCAAGTTGTTACCAAGATCCTACCACTAAATTGTGAATTGGGCCTAATAAGAAAACAGTTTTACCTAATATTTTGCATGTTCTCATAATGCAAACCCCACATGAAGGCTCTTATATGGGATGAGAAAAAATGATTGAAACCTTAAAAAAAATATTGGTGAGGAAAATTTTTTGAGGCTGGTGAACATGTTGCTACTCATTGTCCCATTTGCTCTTGCTACAATCCCAGAAAACACCTTAAAGTTCTACCCAGACAATATCCCTTACCTTCTGGACCTATGCTTGAATGATAGCTAGACTTCATTTAGCTCCCACCCTCAAATGATTATACATATGTATTAGTAATGATTTGTAGATTTTCACACTGGGTAGAAAGAAGCCTTTCTTTGTTGTCATGCTACTGCACCTTTTGTAGCAAAGAAACTTCTTGAAAACATACTCACCTGGGGAGCACCAAAAAAATTCTTTGCAGTGATCAGGGAACTCATTTCACCCATCAAGTTATCCAAGCACTGTGCCAAGTTTTTCCCATTTATTTTAAAGATTACGTTGCCCTTATCATCACCAGTCTTCCGGTCTAGTAGAAAGAACTAATGGAATAATAAAAACCCAAATAGCAAAGCTTTGTGAAACCTTAAATTCATCTTGGACTAAGGTCCTACCCTTGGTTGTTTTAAATTTGAGGTTCACACAACTTGGATCTCACAAGCTTACTCTCTATGAAATAATTACTGGGAGACCCATGGTCCTTCCCTACATTGCCTGCACTGACCCTAACACTGTTCAGCCTGACTTACTGAAATACTGTCAATTATTAATGCAATATTCTAAGAAATATCTTTCACAGGTTAGAGACATGTTTGATGACAGAAATCAAACACCCAGAATCCACCGAACATTGTCCCCAGGGGATATGTGTATTAGAAGAGACACTAATTAAAGGACTTATTGGAACTTCACTGCAAGGGACCCTCCTTATTTCTCCCCACCAACCCATGTGCAGTGAAGCTGGAAGGCGTTAAACCCTGGGTCCACTTGTCACAACTTAAAAGGGCTAAGACACTTCTTTATACCTGTCAGCCCTCTGGAGACCTGAAAATTATATCTAAACACCCTTGTGGTCAGAAGCAGACGACCGCAAAAGTAGACAGCTCATCCCAAGATTCCAGAACAAGACTTCATGCATGTAACTGAATTTTATGGACTTTGCTTGGTGATTATAGTTATCTTTATCATACCTGTGGTGTTATTTCCTGATAGTTTTATTCAGTATGAAAGCCCATTTAAGTCTTACTCTTCGCTCCCTAACAGCTTCTAACGTTTAGAGAGAGAATGCATTTGTTAAATTAGCCCAATCAGTAGCCACTACCAGTAATTTGAATGGATGTTGGATCTGTCATCCCTCTCTGCAATCTGTGCATGAAAATTCAGATCCATTAGTGTCTCCCATATTAAATTAGTCTTGTACCCAACGCTACTGTTAACTTCAACCTCACCTTTAAATGGGCCATACGTGTTAAGACTATGGCATCCCTCTGGACTGCAGACTCGACCTCAGGCACCGTGCTTTAATTTAACTCAAATTGTAAGCAATTCTGATTGCCAAAATAATTTTCTAATCTCACATGATAGACCCCATAGAGTCTGGAAAAATGCCCATGCAAGGAATTTAACAGTGTGCCTGAGAGGATGAAGGCATGCTTATACTGAATTCTGGACCTGGCTAAAGTTGGAACAATGTCGATCTGTAATAATTCTTTCATAGTAAATTGCTTGAGAAGGCAAATCAAACCATCCCCTTCCCAGACAACGCTACCAGAAACAGTTTGATTTTTGCCCATTACGGGTATGTATTTTTACATGAATGATCAGGTTATCCTGCAGTAGAGGAGCCTACTCCACGTGATCGCCCTTATGCCTGGGCATTTCCTTGCTTAGATGGTTGGAACATGGTGGGTCAATGCAACTTAGGGACTTTAGGAATACCCTCAGATATCCACACCTATAATGAAAGTAAACACTGGACTAGTGATATAAAAATCCTTGCTCAGAATAAAACAGACTCTATGTCATAAGATAATCCACCAGCTGATAAACCTGGGATAGGATGGCTATTCCTCTAAGCACTCTTACTCAACTACAGTATTCCCTAGCTTGAAAGATCTATTTGCAATTTATCTGCTACAATGGCTTAAATTGCTGATAGTATTGCAGATGGAATGGCAGACAACAGAAGTCTTTAGAATCCCTTTCTAAAGTAGTATTAGATGACAGAATAGCTTTTGATTTCCTCTTAATTTGACAAGGCAGAGTGTGTGCCTTTGCTAACACCTCCTGCTATACCTGGATAAATACCACAGGAGAAGTAGAACAAGATACTAGAAAATTTCGCCGGAAAGCTACTATGCTACATTCAGTACTTCCTACAACTCTCCCTTTTTAGACATTTTTAGTTGATTATCCAATGACGTTGGTTCCTGGTTGCGCTCTATCCTAGAAACTAGATTAATTATCTTGACTGCTGTAATAATCATTATAGATCTTGTTAAATGTTGTATGAAATGCCCATCTAATGCTTGTAATCAAACTGCAGTCTCTGCTGCTATGCACAGAAGTATGTATCTGGTGACCAACTTCACACCTTTAGTTAGCCTTTTAGGGTATCAAGTTGTTCCTCCAAATGTGGCCTCCCTCCACACATGCCCCAACTAGAGGATCAAAGAAGTAGAGTGTCTTGCACTATGACATGGTGAATAAGTGAAGAATCCAATTTATGAAAAAGGTCAATCCAGTGAAAAAGTCCATGCAGAAGAAAATACTCTCATAATGGTGATCAAAGAATCTTCATGGAAACTCTTGATCAAAAGGGAGAAGTGTGAAAGAATACTTTAAAACTGAAGTACCTGGCATAACTAAAATGACTGACACAGGTCTGGATCGGACTCCATTTTGTTTTAAACCCCTGTTGCTGCTTGTAAAGTATGAGAACCACTTTTGGGTAAACAAATCTTGTTTTGCAAACAAACGTGGTTATGCTTGCTTGACTATGATTCCAGGAAGTGTGTGCAGACTGTTCTCAGAAAAGTGCTTGCCCTCAGGAAGAATATGTTTGAAAACAGATTAACTGATATGAAGACAGGTCTGTTTATGGTTGCTGTCAGGCTAGCCTTCTTGTGTAAAAACCCTGCATTCCTTTGTGAACGTAGGAGCACTTTGTAATTTTACTCAGTGCTGCCCAACTTGAGTTGTATTCTTCAATAAAACTCTATCTTTTCTGTCTATACAGTTAGTGTTGTTTGCACTTTTGACAGCACCTAACAACAACAAGAGACAAGATGGTGTTCAAAATGCCTGCTTTTTCATCAAAATGCTTAAGTCAACAGAAAAAATAACTTCAAATACAAAGTCAATGATTACGAAGCAGTGCCTGAAAATCCACTTCTATCTTTCAGACAAAAAAAATCCCTCACAAAAGTACAGGTGTGGGTTACAGCCCTTACCTATAGGGGAGTCACTCTTCATATACTGGTTTGAGTCTTCTTGAACCCCTCTCTAATTCTGGTTAGCCAAACCACTTTAGGGGTTATCTGGTTAGGCAATCCCTTAAAGTAAAAATCTCTGGGTAGAGAGGTTATCTTTCCTACCAACTTAAGGAAATTTCAAAACAATTAATCTTCCAGTTTAAGCTGTATTACACTAGAAAGAAAAAGTCCCATCATATCTTTTACATGCCATTCTCTGGTTATCATGTTACCTTGGTTAGAGTCCACAGGGTCTTCTATATGAGCAATGACACTTCTGAGATAAATTTGCTTCTGTTGTTCTAGATCTGACTGTGAAAACGTCAGAAAACTAGTCCTTGAACAAAGCAAACCAGAAGAAAAAACAGTCCATTAGAACCATGTGTATATAGCTTCATAGAGAAGTCAAGACACTGTTGATTGGTTAGAACAATTAACTTTCAGAGGCAAAATTCTCTTTAGAACCCAGTGACATGTAGCATGAAGCTAAAATCAAATATGGAGTAGAGAAAGAGAAGAAATAGATATAACCTCCTATGAACAAGGCATAGAAAGGTGAAGACTACCTATTCCCTAGAGAAAGCTTGTGTTGAATAAATCAAGATTAATCAGGAAATAGCTAACTTCACAAAGCCACATACAAGTTAAATGAGATAAAGACTGAAAAGGACTAGCTAGATCTGGCAATTAGGGCAATGGTGACCTTGGCAAGAGCAATTCCTGGCCTTTGCCCATACTGATTTCACTGTGCTGAGGAGTCAGTAAGTGAAAATATTATTGAGACAGTAAATTTATTACTATTCTAAGTAGCCTGACTTGTGTTCTTTTGGTACAATTTCCATTGTAAGCAATTCACAAAGTTTCCCTCAATCATGCAAAAACAACAACAAAACCAGAAAACTGTAACTGGGGGTGGTAGTCAAAGGGGACTTTAGCCTTATTTGTAGTATTTAAAATTTTTTAAAACAGAATAAATGTAATATCTATGTAATCAAAATTTAAAAATAAACTTTAAGAAAGCAATCTGACACAACCTAAAAACCAGCTTTTCTAATGCATTCAATTGAAAAGGCCCATGCAGAGACACTGCCATCTCCTGGCAGAAAACAGATCAAAAAGGGGACCCAAATTTGCAACTCCTACTAGAATTTTTCCCCAAGGACAGCTGTATGCAAGTTGCAAGAAATGACTAAATAATTTTTTACACAGTTATAACCTAACATTTTTGTTAAAATTATTCTGACCCCCTATTATAACTGTGACCAGGCTGCCCCATACATAGAAAAAGAAATGTCACATTTATACAGTGTTTTCACTAACATGTTTTTTTTGCTCTTCAAAATTACCCTGTCAGGCAGCAGAGAGGGCATCATTAGCTTCATTTTATCACTGAAGAAACTAGGGCTTCGAACCAGTTCTTCCTGGTTCAATCATGGCTGTGGAAGTGACGCTGGAACAGATCCAAAATTTTAAAATTTGGGTGAATCAGAACCATAAATGGAACGGGAAAAATTACAGGTCAAGCCCTGCTAGAAATTTAATCTCTCTCTTAGAAAACAACAGCAGTGTACACGCTGCACAGCAACCATATCTCTTGCTCACTGGATTTTGCAGTCAGAAATAGTGGTGTCCCACTCAAAGATGGCGGCCAACTGTGCCACTCTGAATATGTGTCACTCTGCTCAGTCCTGCCAATAATCCAGTCTCATGCATCAGAGTCCTGAAAGGACTCACTACACCTCTTCCGAGTCTCCCGTTCCAGGGTTTCCACCCATAACTTTTCCTATTCCCGTTATGGTTCCGGATCACCCAAGGATAAAAAATGTGGGTCTGTTCCGGTTTCTCTTCGTTAGTCATGACTGAACTGGTTCAAACCAGTCTGAAGCCCTGGAAGAAACTGAGGTCAGAGATTATTTGACTTGCCCAAGGTCACAGAGCCAGTTGTTTGGAGTGCCAGGGCTTCCAGTTTTCTTACTCCTGGTGCAGGGTTTTTCCCCACACTAAAGGAAAACTGCGGATGGGAAGGAACAAAATTGAAGAGAACCAATAGAAATCAGAAAATTTAATTACACTGTTATGTTACCTTGTTTTGGTTTGCAGAACAGGGATGACTTTTCCTAGTCTTCTCTCGTGGACTTTCATCTTCCCAGAATCCTTGTCAAGAACATCCTGCTTTTTTTCAGAGCAGAAAGAACACAGAAGGAAAGATCGTTCTTAGTATAATAAGTGATAACAAACAACCCTATTTATGGAAATATTCTTGAACTAAAGACTAACAGGCACATATCCCTGAACACTACTGAGTACCACGCACAATGGTGCGTGCTTTAAATGAAATAGTGACTGCAATCTTAAAAAAAAACTTTATACACCAAATTATACTCATTTGACAGACAAGGAATCAGGCTCAAAAAGGTTAGTAAATTGCCCAAAGTTTTTCAACTCTTTAGTGGCTGACTCAGAGCTGGTTGCTGCATCTAACACAGCATGGCAACCAAAAATTGAGACTAAGGCCGAAATCCAAAGAAAGAAGAAACAGTAATAAAACCATAATACATTACTTCATTTAATTCTTACTATACTCTGAAGTATTATTTACTGTAATTTATAAATAAGAAAAATGGGGAACACTGGTAATGGGGAACCCAAGCTCGAGAAGAAGAGTGTTGACATGTCGTGGGATTGGCAATCAATGTCACAAAACAATATGTGTATTAATTGTTTAATGACAAATTTGTTTGCTCTGTAAACCTTCATCTAAAGTACAATTTAAAAAATTGAAAAACGGGGAACAGAGAAGCTAAATAATTTTCCCAGGGTCACACTGCTAGTTAGAATTCAGACCCCAATTTGTCTGCTATACTGTTTCTGAATGAAAATAATTTTTCTTTTCATCTTGAAAAAATGTACTTACTTTACTGGAAACCGGAAACCTCACTTCACAACTTGATTTATGTGATCCACCATTTCTCCAGGATGACCCGATATTAGAAGAACTCTTTGAATGGTCCAAGACCTGAGAGAAGACAGGTGTAGGTTTCTTACAGTCAGGCATATTTTTATCAGAGACAGTTTCTTGAAAGTTATTATTTGAAGGAGAAGGAAATGTGTTCCCATCCCAGGCAGAGTTAGTGGGGCTGATCCCTTCAGATTCAGTGCAAAGTTTGCTCTCATTTGGGTTAAGACCATTTTCTCTCAACTCTTCCCCAACAGAGGAGGGTTTTTTAATATCTTTGGATGAATCAGTCTTGTCCTTATCAAGCACAGCATCATAAACTGTTGGATCAAATGGTGCAACAACAGTTATTTTTATAACATTCTTTTCTAGTGCAAAGTGTCTGTTTAATGGTTTAGTAGCAGTTGGTCCATGACCAATCGATGTACTTAGTTGAGGTAGTCTGAAGAGGCCAGGGGTCTCAGCTACTGGTCCCAAGCTGTACAATGAATTTTTCTCTTGGAGAGCATCAAGTGGAATTTGACTCTCCCTCTCTCCCTTCTCGACGTGTCTGCTGTCATCTTTAAGTAACCCTCCTCTCCAAGAAAAGTGTTCATTTGATAGGTCATCATCTTTCAAGAGCTCCTGAATCTCTTCCTCTGTGAAACTGAAATGGCCATCATCTTCTTCTCCATCAGACAGCTCCAGCAAGGAGTCATCCAATCCATCCTCATCCAAGGAACTCCAAGAAAATCGGGCGTTGTCTTTAGGCAAGAGAGAAGTACCAGAAGACTGTTCAGAGGGTACTAGTGAGCACGTCATATCTAGAGAAACAACAGGCAGTTTCACTGAGGAACAGGAAATACCTTTATACCAACTCCAACCCGCTCTATACAGTGGTGGTGTCCTAATACTTTAAATCCTTCGTACTGCAACTCGTAGAATGAGAAATACTTTTAATATATTTAACCTTACCAGAATGGTGGAAATACATGTTAGAACAATGATATATTTTTTTTCCTATCAAAATGTCTTCTACAGATAAAGATGACTGATAATAATCTGGGTGGTGACAATGTGGAAAAACAAGCACTCTCACACCCTACCTGTGAGAGTATAAGTCAGCACAATATTTGTGAAAAGTAATTTGGAAGTACCATTTAACCCAGGAATTTCACTTCTGGAAATTTATCCTACAGGAAAGCACCTGCACAAATGCACATGGATACGTATACAAAGATAGTCAGAACAGTGTTATTCAAAATAGCCAAATATTCCAGGCAACCTAAATGTCCATCACCAGGAAAACTGTTCAGTAAAGTCATGATATATTCATGTTATAGAATACTTTACAACTGTTTAAAAACACAATGAAGTAGATCTGTATATATTATTATGGAATAATATCCATGAAATACAAGCAAAACAAATATATATTATGTAAAACGCTTGAATTTTCACAGTTTACACTTTAAAAAAAAAAAAACCATGTATTACAGTACTTTTGAGGAAAAAAAAACTTTAAGTGTACAAGCAGATAAAGAATTGTCTTCCATACTGTATGGATCTGTTGGAGCAATCTCTGCCTTTGCCACGAGACCAAATGGAAAAAGCTTTCAGCTCCTGCTAGCTGTTCCTTTCAGGAGACTTGTCAAAATGATTGACTCCCACCTTCCTGCCACACAAAGAAAATTAGAGGATCTTCTCATCACTTTCAACTCTGTTAATTACAAAGTCAACTGTATTGTGCTTTAAGGTGCTCCATCTATTAATTTTGATCTTGATTTTTTTTTTTTTAATACCAGAAAGTTAGATTTTGAGTTAAGAATACCAAAGAAAAACCTTTAGAGAAAGAATTATGCAACTAAGGACCTAGTTTTGTTCCTCTCAACAATTTGTACTTTCTTAAGAGTACTATCTGCTTTAATAGGATGAATACTGGCTTGGGAGTCCAAAGACCTGGGTTGTAGTCCTGTTCTGCCACTAACCAGCTCTAATAACTTGGATAAACCATTTAACCATTTGGACTTCAGTTTCCTCATTTATAAAATGGGAAAGGGGTGGAAAAGGTGGACTAGGCAATGTCTAAAATTCTACCAAGATCTAAAAATTAATCATGAACACACAAACACACACACACATAAATCTCACTTTCAATACATATATAAATGCAGAGAAAAGGTCTGGAAAGATACAAATACAAAATTGATGACTGTTGTAGCTTGCAGGGGATGTGAGAGGTCAAGGGGAGACTTCAGTCAGTATCATTTTGCTTTTCTACTTGAATGTGAAATGCTTACAAGAAATGCTTAAACACTGAATTCCTTAATAATTTGGAAAATTCCTTGTAGCTTTTTAACTGTAAATTTTTCCCTAGTCCACCTTCCTTGCATACCACACCCTGAGTTCCAGCGTTAGTCCATGCATTCTTCAGAAAACATTTTCTGAGCTACTACCATCACATAACACTGAGCTACACAGTACGTCTCCATATGATTTCTGAGAAATAAACATATGGTTCCCACACTCAAGGAATATACAACCTTGCTAGGGAGACATTAAAAGTTAAGCACCAATATGAGAATATAAAACAGTATTGACAACAAAGTACTAGAGAAAGAGAAGGAAAGGGGAAGGATTACAGAATTTTACAACTAGAAGGAACCTAAAACTTATTCATTTTAGAAATGAGATGGGATAGAAAGGGAAAAAATATTAAGTCTCTATTATGAACTATAAGAAACATTTTACAACTCTAATTTCACCATTCAAAACAACTCTGCAAAATTGGTCTTATCAATGAAACCAAGCTTTCTGTTGTATTTAAACTTAGAACTAACAAAACTTTTTATTTCATTTTACCAGTATTCCAGCAATTGTTATGAGATTCAGGCACAGAAACAAGTGCCTTTCAGAAGAGAAAAGTAACTCCTCTGCCCAGTGAGAGTTATTTTATAAAGTGAAGTTACTTGTTTACGCAGCAGTTAAGAAAAAGGGTGTTTTGGAAAATTTTTTAAGAAAGTTTGTGATTGTCAAGCACAAATATTACAGGCAGTGGGATCAGGAGCCGCATTTATAAGCCCTTTCTGGGCCACCACCACCCTATCAACACCTTCCAGAAGGTCTAGTCCAAGAGCTTGTTTGACCAAATGGTGAGTTCAATAGATTTTCACTCTTGGGAAAATAAAGGCCAGAAGTATTAAGTAACTTAACCAAGTACATATAGCTAAGAAGCTTAGAACAAGGATCTAAACTCAGGTCTAATTCCAAAAGCAACGTTTTTCTACCACATTGGTGACAGACTTTCCCAGGGTTGGTCAGCAAATGGCAGAGCCAGAATCCAAACTCAGGCCATCTAAATTCAGTACAACCTCTAATAATACTACAGAAAATGTAGATGTCAAAGAGGGCTTTTGGTCCCTTGGCAAAAAAATTTAAGCCACTTACTATGCATAAAAGGCTTCCCTTGGCCTTCCAGGTGGAATTGAAGAACATGAGAAATACTCCCGAATGTGGCCAAACCTCACTCAAAGAAAAACATCATTACTTGAAAACTTTACTGTGCACACGTCAGACCAATATCCTTCACAACCACTGCAATCATCAATTCCTATGCCACAAGACATCCAGAGGTACAGAGCTGGCTCTTCTGAGCTTCTCGCGTAAAACGTTTCAAGAGATCTGGGAGCAAAAGCATGTAAGACAATGCCATATATAATTTTTACTTTGCCCAAAATCACTCTCTTGGCAATTTTATTTCCTCATTTAAAAAAATACCTTTTATTATAGAGAATTTAAAACACACACAAAGTAACAGAACCCCCACCTACCAATCACCCAACCCCAACAACTATCAACCCATGGCTAATCTTGTGCCACCCACTTCCCCCTTCTACCATATTATTTTGAAGCAAATTCCAGATATCACATAATTTCATCTGTTAATAACAAGATTAATTCCTTAATATCATAAAATATCCAGTTCAGATTTCTAATTATCTTATGTCTTTGCACTGACTTCCTTAATTAAAAATTTTTTATTAAATATCCAAGTACATAAAATACAGAAAGTAACATAATAATGAACACCCTTGTACCTACCACCCAGCTTTATCTTACATTGTCATACTTGCTTCATACTGCAACTCGTAGAATGAGAAATAATTTTAATATATTTAACCTTACCAGAATGGTGGAAATACATGTTAGAACAATGATATACTCTCACAGGTAGTGTGTGAGAGTGCTTGTTTTTCCACATTGTCACCACCCAGATTATTATCAGTCATCTTTATCTTTATAAGACAATGTGATAAGAAAAAAAAATATCATTGTTCTAACATGTATTTCCACCATTCTGGTAAGGTTAAATATATTAAAATTATTTCTCATTCTACGAGTTGCAGTACGAAGCAAATATGACAATGTAAGATAAAGCTGGGTGGTAGGTACAAGGGTGTTCATTATTATGTTACTTTCTGTATTTTATGTACTTGGATATTTAATAAAAAATTTTTAAGGAAGTCAGTGGAAAGACATGATTACATTCTTAAGTCTCAAACAGCAGTACTACTGTAGTACCTACTTCATAGGGTTGTTTCAAGAATTAAGGAAGATCATGAACATAAAGCACTTAGCACACTACAGCCACAACTTAAGAGTTAAATAAGTGGTAGCTGTAATTATTTCATCACACCCTCATCACCTCACAACTCTAGAAAAAGTCTTAAGAGAAGCATAGGAATGGGAGAAAAAAGAGTGCTAAACTGGTAGTGAACTTCCCCCAATCCCTGCTTGTTTGGAAATTATCCAGAATGATCTATTCATTCTCTTCAAGTTTAACCTGGAGTTCAACCACATCGTCACTAAATTAAAAACCATGCTGGATGAACATCTGAAATATCAAGCAAATTTTGCAAATTAATGGTCACTGTATAGAGGCACTTGACTAAAATTCAGAGACCTCAGCAATTCCCTTGAAATCTCTGAATATTTGCCTGATAAAAAGGGACTAAATATTCATTGTTAACTTCAAACAGATTATCATGAGGATTAAACGATAGGATGTTTGTGAAAGCACTCTAAACCTAAAAGCCTTATATTAATAAGAGTTGATATTTAATGAATTTGCAAAGAGGAAAAAAAAGCAATATTGAAGTTCTAAAGCAAAGTTCCACAAAACAGCCTTACTACTTCTGTCTGCCATTCCACCATCATCTGCCTTTCTTGGCACTTACTTTGTAACTGCCACTTAAAATATGGGGACCCCTCTATTTTTAAGGGAAGAATATTCTCCCATCTCCCAACTCCTCTGTTCCCCATCCCTTCTGTGACCCTATTCTGTCCTTCCACATCTCCCTCACCTGTCCACCCCCTTCTTCACACTTCAGCATACCACCCCCTCGCTCTGTTCTCTACCCTCCTGGTTGCAACCTCAGAAACTGGCTTCCTTTCTATTTTTATCTTACCTCAGAGAACCTACTACCTTAGAACACAAAGCCTTACTTTCTTCAGGCTACTAAAACTGCAAAATCAAATACAACCCCATATTCCTCTTTCAAGGCTCTAAAACCAAGACCCTTACCAAGCTGGGCCCGACAGATACGGCCAAGGGCAAGGATTACTTCCTATGGTCAAGACTTCCCTACTGGCCTTTGATTCCCAATCTTTCCCACACACTACAAATGTGAAGCACACAGCACACTCTGGGCATAGCACAAAAGGCACTCGGTAAGCTTTGCAATCACAACACAAAATGGGCATAACATTTAAAAAATCAAAGTGAACTGAAATTATCTGTAAGATTTCTGTGATTCCTTTTGGGGTAACTGGAAACATTAGAAGATGGAAGAACAACCCGGGACTGGAAATCTCTGCTTTAGGTAACATTTCACTAGATCAGATGCCAGGACTCTCCTCCCACGTGGGCACGGAGGCCAGATATTATTAAGCGGCAGCAACAGGTTTCTTTTAAAACAAAAAAAAAATTTTTTTTTAATTGTTAAGACAGGTCTGCTACAGCCTGGAGCCTCTAACAAATCCACAAGAAACTAGAGATCACGTTACGGTAGCTGGTGGGCAATTCAATCGCGTCTTGGCTGGCACTCTCCAGGGCCCACCCGGCGGGGCCAGCGGCCTTCCTTGCTGCCCATAAAGAAACTGGTGAGAGTGAGGCCTCTAGTCCTTGAAGACCACGGAGACGGGTGGCTCAAATACACCCTCCGTAGGCTACTGCCTGGCTTCCCCCTGCTCTCCCTTAGAAACGGCAAGGCACGGACTCGCCCTCGGTGCAGGGGCTTCGCACTTTCCTTCTCAAAGACCAATTAATTCTCGCCTCCCGCTGAAGGCGGGAGAAGCGCGGGCTTTCTCCCTGCCCCTCCCCCAGCAGGGGCAAAACTCGCCCCTCTGGAGGCCAGGGTGGTGCACTCTTCTCCCAGAAGACCGCTGCCCACACCCAACCAGCTGGAGCCAAGACCCTGCTCTCCCGTACGGGTTGGGATGGGGTAGGGAGGCGGATCATCCTCTCCCTCCCCAGCCAGCGAGGCGCGGCGGAAAGACTGCGATCTTCTCCCTAGCAACAGTCTTCCCCCTAAGTAGAGCAGGGGGCAGAGGCATCACCCACCTACACCCATTTCCCCCATCCCACCCCAATGGGCAGGGAGAACAGACATCACTCCCAGCCTCTCAGGTGACCAAACAGCCTCCCTTTTCCTCATCTGGGTGAAGGGCATCTGTCACCCGCCGACGTAGAGGCGGGGGCCAGAAACAGTACTCCCGGCCATCACCTCAGAAACCAAAACGAGCCCTCCTACCAGTAGGGCGAGGGCCTCCCAACCCTTCGACTGGGCGGACGCCGTGCGTACGCCCCAAGAGAAGCAACAGGCACCCCCAACCCCCTCCCAGCCGAGGAACGCCGATCCCCTCGTCCCTCCGCTCTTCACCTCCAGAAGCCGGGCCGAAGCCTGGGCGAACAACTGTACCTCACTCCGCCCCCTGCGCCATTTTATTGCCCCCTCCCCGACCTCCCCCACCCAGAAGCAGCCGGGGCAGCGCCAGGGGGAGGGCAAACAAGCGGTGATTGGCAGGAAACCGCCCCGCCTCTCAGAGGGTTCCGCGCCCCGCGCAGGCGCCGTAACCCCGCCCTTCGCAGCAACTACGCGACCTACTGGCTCCACCCATTCCCATCTCATCGACCCGCTCGACTCTCCGCTGCTCCTGACTCCCAGCTGCTACCGGGCGGAGAAGGGCCCAGACCAAGCAAGCGGAGCAACGATCTCACCTGATGCAACCTGTCTAGACCCGCGTGACAGTTCCTGGCACACCGCGGCGGCGGCGACTAACGGGCGCGGGCGCTGGGCTCAGCGCGCGAGGTAGGGGCGGCGGAACCATGGGGGACGCTCCGAGCCCTGAGGAGAAGCTGCATCTTATCACCAGGAACCTGCAGGTCGGGCCTCGGGGTTGGAACTGCGCCGTTGGGGGCTGGGGACCCTAGGTCCAGTGATCCTGAGCCCCACAACGGGGTCCTAAGTGTGTGGGGCTGGAGACTCCGCACCGGGGCAGCTCTGAAGGAGGCTGCCGGTTTGTCAGTCAATCAGCCGTTTCGTGGGTGCCACAGAAATCACAGTGGATTCACTTTCTGTGTGCAGGTTACCTTGTGTTGGAGCCAGGCTTTGAGTTCAGGACCCTGCTCCACTCACCACATTATGTGCCAGGCGTGGTGCACCGGGGATACGTCAGGGCCCTGCCCTTCCAGAGCTTGCCTGGAGAGGATCAGACGTTAAAAATGATCTGTAATCCGTAGTGGAAACAAGTACTGGAAGGAATTATACGTGGAGCTTTGAAAGGAAGTAAGGAGAGGAGGTGGGGGCGAGGCAGGGAAAGCTTCCATGAGGAAGGGACCTCTGAACTGCGCCCTGAAAGATGAGGATCATCCCTTCAGTATTTCTCAGAGTTCCTGCTGTTGCCAGAACTGCTGGAATAGCAGTTAACCAGAAGAACGGGAGAAAGAGCATTTCAGGCAGGGGGAACAGTAGTGCCAGACCCAGAGAGAAGAAAGAACGTTGTGGATCAGAGAAAAGGCTACATTGTATGGAGTAGAGTGAGCAAAATGCAGATCAAGCACTTAATGAATATTGTTTATTGCTCACTCTCTTCACCTCTTTCAGGCCTCTGACTGTTGCCACCTTACTAGGGAGGCCTTTCCCGACCACTTTATTTAAATAGTGAACTCCCTGACCTGCCTCTCCCTGCCCCCAGTAACATTTATACCATTTGACATACTGTAGCTTTTACTTGCTTATCTGTTTAGGATGAGGAGGCAGGGACCAAGTCTTGTAGGCTATGTTTAAAATTGGGCTTTATTCTAAAGAGCAGTGATACATCACTTGGGCCACAGCTTGTTTTGTTATTGTTGTTGTTTTATATAGATATAATTTACATAGCATAAAATTCACCCTTTCAAAGTGTACAGTTTAGTGATTTTCAGTATATTCACAAGATTATGCAACCATCACCACCATCTAATTACAGAACATTCTCATCACCTAAAAAAACCATATACCATTAGCAGTTACTCCTCACTCTCCCCTCTCCCCAGCTATAGGGAAACACTAGTCTACTTTCTGTCTCTATGGATTTGCCTACCTGGACATTTCATGTAAATGGAACCATATGATATGTGCTTGGTAAAGTACAGGGTCAGCGAAAAAGAGGAAGACCCTCAACGAAATGGATTGATACAGTGACTGCAACAATGGGCTCAAACATGACAATGATTGTGAGCATGGTGCAGGACTGGGCAGTGTTTCGTTCTGTGGTGCATAGGGTCGCTATGAGTCGGAACTGACTCAACGGCACTTAACAACATACAATGTGTGGCCTTTTATGTCTGGCTCCTTTCGCTCCTTTCACTTTGCATGTTTTCATGGTTCATCCATGTTGTAACATATATCAGAACTTCACTCCTTTTTTTTTTTGGCAGAATATTCAGTTTTATGAATACACTGCTTTTGTTTATCCATTCATCAGTTGACGGACATTTGGGTTATTTCCGCACACAGCTTGATCTTGACCAGAGATTTTTACATGCTTCTCCTTAGCCACCAGATCTTTGCCACCTAGCCTTTCTCCATAAAATAGTGCTGGTTGGGGATAAAGGAGTCACAAAGCTAGTGGAGTTGACTTACTCAGGTTTTAAAAGGCTTAGTGATAGGACCTTTTCTTGGGTGATGAGAACCCTCTGTGGAGTGTTCGAATAGTCAGGGGCTCTGGAGGATGCAAGATTAACCTCCAGCAGGCTTGGAGCAGAGGTTTCTAACAAGTCCTGCTAATAACAGTTCAACCCAGCAAAACAATTTTTGCCTATCATGGCTTCTTACAGCCTCCCAAAACCATCATCTGAAGAAACACTAAAAACTTTCTATCAGGGGCATACCAGCCCACTAGGATTTTTCCTGTTGCAGCGGCAATGATGTCGGGGCGGCAAAGACAGTAGCCAAACACAACTCTTACAGAGAAGTGGGGCCAAGGAGGGTCACTCAGAGAAGTCAACCCTGGCTTCAGTCCCAGGAGATTATTTATAGTCAATACAGCAAGCAGTGAAGCAAACAACAGAACAATGGGCTTTGGGTGAATAACAGTAAGTTTCGGGCAAGGGAGAAGGAATTCAGGTAAATAAGCCAATCAGTAACAGGACAATAGGTTTGGGAAATGACAAGTCTCAACATGTCCTGTGCAGCATAGAGGACTTTGAGGGGCTGAAGTTGTCAACAGTGTAGCCATATTTCAGTGGCACGTATCCCCACATTTTCCAATACTGTTTTAAGGTGAAAAGAAATCATTAAAGGTTTTAAACAGGGGAATGAGTTCATCAAATTTTGGACTTTAAAAAAAGATCTCTGGCTACCTTTTGGTGCATGGATTGGAGGGAGCAGCCTCTTAGGAGGCTGTTACAGTAGTCCTGGTGTTCTCTAATGGTGACTGGACTAGGGAGTAGTGGTGTCAAGGCAGAGAGAAGTAGAAGGATTTAAGAGCTGGTTTGGAGTGGCTTAAGCTGCTTGGTAATTGAGATTCTGATTTACTGATGAATAATGAATGATTTAATGAACTAGGGGTGAAACTATAAGTCAAAAAAGATGGTTGAGGAGTGAGATAGGGAGTCAATAGCATGAGTTTAATTTTGACCATGTTGAGTTTGAATTAACTGGAGTGGTAACAAGTACACGGTTCTGTATATGGGTGTGGGCAGGAGATTTGGGAGTTACTAGCTTCTAAGCAGTAATTGAAGCAGCTGAAGGGGATCACCCAGGGGGAATGTAGAGTAAGAAGAGAAGAGACTAGAGCCCCAAGGATTGCTAATATTTAATGATTAGAAAGAACAGGAGCAGCTGCAAAGAAATCTGAGACCCAGCAGCCAGACAAGTAGGAAGAAAACCAAGAGACTGAAATAAAAGAGACCAAAAGAAGAGAGTGTTTCAAGGAGGGAGTGAAGACTAAAGAATAGTCACTGAATTTAGCAATGTGGAGGTCATCTGTCATCTTAGCAAGAGTATTTTCAGTGATGTGATGTGGATATGGAATTCAGATGGAATGGGAGATAAGAAAATGAAGACTAGAAGAGGAGATAATTATTTCAAGAAGTTTGTCTTATGAAAAGAAGGAGAGTGAGTTAGAGGCAGCTGGAGGGGAAGATGTGGTTAGGGACGTGCCCCCCCCCCTCCCCCCAGCATCAGTGTCATCTCACTGGAGTGGTACTAGCAGCAGCACCAACTTAGGTTGGCTGTCACTCAGCATTGAGAGTGTGGCTGGACCTCCTTGCTGGCCCTGAGCCTGGACCCCTAGTGACACATGGTTTTGTCTTCCTTGTCACAGGGTGAGGATGCTGGACTCATCACCAGCACTGAGCAGGGTGGGGCACCGGCATTAAACCAGCTCTTCTGCTTCCACAACAGGAGGTTCTGGGGGAAGAAAAGCTGAAGGAGATCCTAAAGGAGCGGGAACTTAAGGTTTACTGGGGAACAGCAACCACAGGCAAGCCACATGTGGCTTACTTTGTGCCCATGTCTAAGATCGCAGACTTCCTGAAGGCAGGTTGTGAGGTAAGAACTAATGCTATAAGCCAAGCAGTTGCCCTCGAGAAATGTCCAAAAGAAAGATTTAACAAGGTCAGGGGGTGGAGGAGTACTTGGGCAAATTCACATTTTAGTGGTCCCTTTCCAGGTAACAATTCTGTTTGCGGACCTTCACGCATACCTAGATAACATGAAAGCCCCATGGGAACTTCTAGAACTCCGAACCAGCTACTATGAGAATGTGATCAAGGCAATGCTGGAGAGCATTGGTGTGCCCTTGGAGAAGCTCAAGTTCATCAAAGGCACTGACTACCAGCTCAGCAAGTAAGTGCTGGATCACCCACCCTTTTTGTGGCTCTAGTGTGTCTATAATTACAGGTCTGTGGAGTCCAGGCACCCTTTAAATTTGGATTAGAGGCTGTTTGGCTCTACCTAATAAGAAACATTTAAAAACTTTATACCTGTTGTCCCACTAAATCAGCCATCAAAAATGTACAGACTAGTAACTGCCTTAGGTACTGTCCTCCTATTTGCTGGAGATATAAATCTAACCACAACAAAGTCTTTGGCCTTGCAGAGCTCACAGCATATGGAAGAATAATGGTGAACAATGCAGCCTCTCCTCCTTCCAGTCTCAGCAAATAATGTTAAAAGAAATGTGAAAGAAACGTATTTCACTTATTTCCCACCTCCCCTAACAACAATTTTTATTGCTTCCTATCTTTATCAATTTGTGTTTGTAATGTTACCACAGATATAATTTTGTATCCAAATTTTTTATCTTACTCTTTCCTAAGTAATTCTTCATGCAGCCTCATAGTCTCCACATTTTTTTAATTTTTAAAACCTCTCAAATAGCCTTTATAACTAAATACCATGTGTCACTACTAGGTACTTTTGCGTTTAAGCCCTCGGAACAACCTTTCAAGGTAAGCATTGTTTTATCCTATTTCACAGGTAAGGAAATAGATTCAGAATTAACTTTCCCAAGTTCATACAGCTAGTGAGTAAACAAGTCAGAATGTGAGCTCAGTTCTCTTGCTCACAAGTAAATTTCTCTTTTTACTTCATCTAACATAATTTTATTTACCATTCCCCACTGTTGAACATTTAGAGTTTTAAATAAAGCATATAAACATCTTTACATAAACAGATATTTGGATCCATAGCCTCAGTAGAGTGCCTGAGATTTCATTCATTTTTACATTTAATCTACAACCATTCCATGCTCGTAAGATTGGCAAAATTTTTTAAATAATGACAATATTAAGTAATATTCCACTTTGGAAAATACCTTGGCATTATCCAGTAAACTTCAAGATGCAAATCCCCTGTGATCCAGAAATTCTACGCTAGGCATTTATAGAGAAAGTTGCACATGTATACCAGGATACACATACAAGAATATTTACAACACATTATGTAGAGATACAGACATAAGACTGGAAAGAAACATAAGAATTCAGGGTAGTGGTTACTCCAAAGGAGGAAGAAGTGGGATAGGATTTCAGGGGGGCAATTCAGGAGCTAATTGTTAGGTCCTTTTCTTAAAATGAGTGATGGATATTCTGTTCTCAATATTGTTCATTATTCCTTACATGTACTTAAGTTTAAAAAAAAAAAGACATGGAAGATAGATTGAGAAATTCTGACATTTATATAACTGGCATTCCAGAAGATGAGAACGAAGGGAAAGGGCGGAGAAGCAGTATTTGAAGAGATAATAGCTGAAATTTTTCCAGAAGACAACAAAAAGATGAATTAAAGCCATCTTTTTAAAGGAAAAACATAAAAATAAAGTTCAATTTTGAATGAGAACGTGGATCTCTCACATTTCAGAAGCCACTACACAGTGCTCCCCTTTGGAGGTCTTAGGTTTGGGGGAATAAATGGGTAAATGGGCATTGTGCCACGAAGCCCTAGTTGGGGGAATGGATCTCCACATGGCAACTTTTACCAGACAAAAACAACATTGGTGTGCTTTAGGATTTCCCTGGGAAACTGAAGCCTGGGCTGAGTCCTACAGCTGTCCCCTCTTCCTTTCCTTCTTAGAGAGTACACACTAGACGTGTACAGACTCTCTTCTGTGGTCACACAGCATGATGCCAAGAAAGCTGGAGCTGAGGTGGTAAAGCAGGTGGAGCACCCTTTGCTGAGTGGTCTGCTGTACCCTGGACTGCAGGTACTTAGGAGGGAGGGAGTAGCACCAGCTTACCTTTTCTGCTCTGTTTCTGAGAACTGGACACAAACCTTCCTCTCAGCTCCACCTAAACGAACACACTTCCTGTTCCTTCAGCATACCATAGGCCTTCTTCCTGTCTCTCTCTCATCCTTCTCCCCCACTTCCTGATGCACTCTTACACTTCTTCAGTTGTAAGTCCTCCCCTGCTTAGCTGTCCTTTAAGACATTGCTCACCTCATACATCTTCATTATGTTAATCATAATTGTCTGAGTTATCTAGTGCTGCTATAACAAATACTACAAGTGGATGGCTTTAACAAACAGATATTTATTCTCTCACAGTTTAGGAGGCTAGAAGTCTGAATTCAGGTGCCAGCTCTCTCTGTGAGCTCTCAGGGAAGGTCCTGGTCTTCTTTCAGCATCTGTGGGCCCGGTGTTCCTTAGAAATCTCCATGTGTCTTGGCATCAGTCTTCCCCTGGGTCTAGAAGGTTCTCAGCACAGGGACCCCAAGGGACCCCAAGTCCAAAGGACATGCTCCACTCCTGGTAGTACTGAGGTTCCCCCCACCCCCTTTCTCTGCTAGCTTTTCTCTCCTTTTATCTCTTGTAAGATAAAAGGTGATACAGGCCACACCCCAGGGAAACATCCCTTACATTGGATCAGGGCTATGACCTGAGTAAGGGTATTGCATCCCACCCTAATTCTCTTTAACATAACCTAATCTTGCCTCATTAACCACAGGCACAGATTAGGATTTACAACACATAGGACAATTACATCAGATCACAAAATGGAGGACAACCACACAATACTGGGAATCGTGGCCTAGCCAAGTTTTGGGGGGACACAATTCAATCCATGACAATAATGTCCTAATTGAAGGAAATAAATGTTAGAATAATGTGTGAAAATAAATTTAAGGCATGATCCTATTTTCTGTTAAACATAACGAACACATCGTATTTCGTGTATGTTTGTATGTCTTTGTGGGAGTAAAGAGAAAGATGGAAAAATACAAATGAAGCCATCCTACCTGAGGAGGGTGAGATGAAAATGTAGATAGACTTTTTTTTTTTTTTAATATCTCTTTAATGTTTGGTATATTGCAACTAGCATGGATTACCTGAGTGCTGTCTGGCCACATACCATATTGGATACCATATTGGACAGCACATGTATAGTAACATCATCGCAAAAAGTTGTGTTGGACAGTGCTGGTCTAGATTCTTTCTTTCCTATTTGCTCACCTTTCTCTTCTCTCTGCCCTTCTCCCATCCCCCACCCCAGTCTAGTCAGGCACCAAATCTTATCAATTCTACTTCTTAAAAATCTCTGAAATTCATTCTTGCTCAACTTTGCCACTACCTTGGTTCATCATCATCTCTCACCTGGACTCCCACAGCAGCCTTCCCACTATTTTCCCTGTCTCCAACCCGCAGGCCTCAGTTCATGCTCTGCCCTGTTACTGGTGTGCTCCTTCTATGTACTGGTCATGTTTCTCCCCTCTTTAAAACCATTCACTGGCCAGGAAATAGTTGGGCACCCTTGTGCCCTAGCATGACATTCAGCTAGTAGCCAAGTGCTTAATCACTTGCACCATCCAGGGACCCCCAGCATGACATTCATGATTCTTACTTTCCCGACCTCATCACTCACCACTTACTACATCCCTATAAGGTTGTGCTTTTGCAAACCAAATGACTTTTTGCAAACCAAAAAACCAAACTCATTGCCGTCGAGTCGATTCTGACTCCTAGCAACCCTGTAGGACAGAGTAGAACTGCCCCATAGGGTTCCCAAGGCTTTATGGAAGCAGAGTGCCACGTATTTCTCCTACAGAGCAGCTGGTGGGTTCGAACCACCGACCTTTCAGTTAGCAGCCGAGCACTTTAACCACTGTGTCACCCGAGCTCCTTAAATCACTTATAGTTCTCCTAAATGCTTCACACCTCTGGGTGTTCTTACATTCTGTTTCCTCTGCATGGTGATAACACCTATATGTTCTTCAAAACCCAGCTCAACACACAAACTGATTCTAGGAGGCCTTCCCCACTGCCTGTCTAACCAGACAGAGATAATCATTTCTTCTTTTGTGTTAGCACTGTTCCTCACAATGAATATCTAGGTTAGCCCTTGGCACATAGTATTCAGATGATCTGTTTATATGTCTCTCTGCTCAACTGGATAATAGGGCTTCTAGAATCAGAGTCTGGCTCTGATTCATCTCTACATCCACAGGGCTGGCACTAGGCCAGGCATGTAGTAAGTGACAGTAACCGCTGGTTTACTAGTTCAGTCTTGCCTTTTTTTTGGAACTCTTACTTCTGTATGCTACTTATTTGTCACCAGCTGCCTTATTCAGTGGAGACCCTTTGACATGACTGTAGTTTATCTTCCTCTCCCATCCCTCCTTTCCCCACTGGATTGTGAGCTCCCTGGAGGCAAAAACTATTCCTCCTATATGTTTCTCCCATGACATCTAATGAGGTACTGTTTGTTACAGGCACTCAGCAAATGTTTATGCTAAGCTCTTGAGGTGCACAGAGAGTCTGAATGCTGTTTATTTACTTCCTGGCTCCACCTTCTGAAGAATCTAGCAATCGTCAACAATTTGATTTCTCAGATCCATATGGAAGAAAATACAGTAGGAGTTTACGCTCATGTTTTTCTTTTCACAGGCCTTGGATGAAGAGTATTTGAAAGTAGATGCTCAATTTGGAGGCATTGATCAGAGAAAGATTTTCACCTTTGCAGAGAAGGTTAGTGTCCTCTTTCCTTTCTTCTCTCATTTGAGCCACAGAGATGTGCAGCTAAAGTTTATTGAACTGTAATGTGCCAGTCCCACCAATCGTAACCATATTGTACGGTAGGTGTTATTCTCCTTGTTTTGTAGATGAGAAAACTGAGGCTAAAAAGAGTAAGAAAGTTATCCAGTGTCACCTAGTTAGCAACTGAGCAGGAATTAGTACCCAGATCTGCCTGACTCCAAAGGCCATAGCTCTTGCTACCAACCACATACCAACCACCAGGAAGTTGCACTAGGATATGTTGGGTTTGCCTCTTTCCCAGTAGTTCAGTTTCCAGGGAGAAGTGCTGCCAGTCAGAACTATTGCTCTTTCCCAGAACATTTGATCCCCATTGCCTGGTCATCCCTGAGATGAGGTTTAACAGGGTTTAGAGCAGGAAGTTAGCACAAATTTATAATAGCTCTTTTCTGGGAAAGAACTAGAATAAGTTTAAAAAGGGTTATTGAGAAGTACTTGGTATTTGATGAGGGTATAGGGAAAGCACTGCTAGTGGAAATGTAAATCCCTGGAGTGTGATTAAACGACCCCACAATGTTCCTACCCTTTGACCTAATAATTCTACTTCTAGAAATTTCTCCTAAGAAAGTAATTAGAAATGTGCACATAGAGTTATGTACAAGAGTACTTATCACATCATCAGTTTAAAGCCAAAATTTAGAAATATACACATCCAATGGCAAGGGATTGGTTACATATGTTGTGATAAATCCTCATAATGGACTATTGTACAATACTAAAATAATGATTTTTGGATACATGTGATGAATGGGGAAATGCTCACAATGTAATTTTTTTGATTACTCTTTCTAATTATTTTCTCTCCTTATTAATTTTTTATTTATTATTATAGTAGGGATCAGCAAAATAGGGCTGATGACTTGTTTTAGTACAATTCACAAACTAAGACTGGCTTTTATGTTTTTAAAGGGGTATAATTAAAAAAAAAAATTCAACAAAGACCCTATGTGGCCCACAAAGCCTAAAATATTTACTCTCTGGCCCTTTAAAGAAAAGATTTACCTACCCCTGACCTAGAGATTGTAGTGTGTATTCTCATAGTTTATTATAGTTATACTTGTTACATTTTTTTACTACTTAAGTTCTACTTACATTTCTATTTTTTACTACTTCCCAAACAATGCAGAAGCCTTACAACAGTTTTACTCCATTTAACTCTTTCCTGCCCTTTTGTGCTATTGTTGTCATATATTTTAAGTCAATTTTCATGTATATGTACCCATATTTACCCTTTCTGTTATTCTTGATTCCTTCCTGCAGTTCTGTCCATCCGGGACCATTTTCCTTTAACCTAAATAGCCCCCCTTAGTATTTTGTGTCTGTAGTGCAGATCTTTCCATGATGAGTTCTTTTGACTTATTTTTATCTGAAAATGTCTTTCTTTTACCTTCATTGACTATAAAAATGAGTATGAAATTCTAGGTTTGCAATTTGTTTTCTTTTAGCACTTTAAAGACACATTCCATTGCCTTCTGGCTTCCATAGTTTCCACTGAAAAGTTACCTGAAAGTATTATTGCTTCTCCTTTTGAAGATAATATGTAGTTTTCTTTGTATTTATCCTGATCAGGTTTTGCTGAGTTTCTTGAATCTATGGGTTGATGTTTTCATCGAATTTGGAAAATTCTCAGCCATTATTTCTTCAAATATTGCTTCTGTCTTATTCTTTCTCCTGTCCTGGGTTAGACTTTGATCATGTCCCATGTGTGTCTTATATTCTGCTCTGTTTTCCTTTCTTTGTTCCCTCTCTGCTTTACTTTGTATATTTTCTGTTGACCTTCAAGTTCACTAATCTTGTCTTCTGTTAAATCCATCCAATATTACATTGTGCCATTTTAGAACTTTTATTTGATTCTTTTTTATAGATTTCAGTTCTCTTTTGCAGTTCTCCATCTTTTATCCATTTTGTCCATCTTTTCCTTTATTCTCTTTAACATATTCCTGGTCTGCTGACTCTAATATCTGGATTGTTTCTGGGTCTGCTTCTATTGACTATGTTTTCTCTTGGTTATAGGTCATTTTTTTGTGCTTCTTTCCATTTTTAGTACTTTTTAAATTGTATCAAGAACATCGTAGATACGTTTTAGAGTCCCTGGACTATGTTATCCTCTCTTATAGAATGATATGTTTTATTCTGGAGGCACTTAAATTTCTGACTGATCACCTTAATCTTGTCAGGGTTTGGTTTAAAGCTTTGTTAGAACAGGTCTATTTCACTTTTGCTCTTACTTCTAGATGTGGTCCTTATTCCTAGGATGAGCCCTTTCTGGAGTTTCAAACTGAAATCTCAGGGTGTTCAGGCACCTACACTTTGATTGGACCTAAAATTCAATCTTTCTCCCCAAAGCTGTGCAGCCTCTGAAATCTCTACTCAGGTCTCTAGCCTCCCAGAGCATGTTCTCTGCCGGACTTCAGGAATCTCACCATATGCATGCACATCTTATCAGTCAGCCAAGGAGTCAAGGGGAATTTTGACATAGTTTTTGGGAGGGCCCCCTTCTCTTTAGAATCTTTCCCAAATCCCAGCCTCCTGGCAGTCCTAAACTCCAATCTGTCTCCTCTGCTTAGTGAGACTGCTGCTCTAGGCTTAGTCTCTTTCTCAGCACCTGGTTTGAAAAAATGCCCTCAGGGAGAAAGCCAGGATGAATGTGGGATCACCTTTGATTCTCTTCTCTCAAGATTTGTAGCCCCAAAATGGTACAGCTGTTGTGGAAAACAGTGTGGTGGTTCCTCAAAAAACTAAAAATAGAACTCCTGTATGACCCAGTTCCACTCCTAGGTATATACCGAAAAGACTTGAAAGCAGAGACTCAAACAGATAGCCAAAAGGTGGAAACAACCTAAATGCCCATCAACAGATGAATGAATAAACAAAATATGGTACATACATACAATGGAATACTACTTGGCTAGTAGGAGAAATGATGTCTTGATACATGCTACAATATGGATGGAGCTGGAAGACATTATGCTGAATGAAATAAGTCAATCACAAAAGGACCAGTATTGTATGACCTCACTTATATAGGAGCCCTGGTGGCACAATGGTTAAGAGCTATGGCTGCAAAACAAAAGGTTGGCAGTTTGAACCCATCAGCTGCTCCTTGGAAACCCTATAGGGCAGTTCTCCTCTGTCCTGTAGAGTTGCTATGAGTCAGAATCAACTCAACAGCAGTGAGTTGTTTTTGTTTTGTTTGACTTATATGAAAAGGCAAATGTATAGAGAACAAAGTTCATTAGTGGTTACCAGGAGCATTGATCAAGGGTAAGGTTGCACAGCCGATTATTTTAATTGCTGTCAATAAGTTGTACACCTGTAAAAGGTTGAATTGGCAAAAGTTGTGTGATAGACATATTTACAACAACAACAACAAAAAAAAATGAGTAGCCTCTGAGGCCACTTGTGTACAATCAAAATCCTTGTGGGATTCGGTTTCTTGGTTTGGAGGTTTAGAGTCATGGTTTCCTGGGACATCCCCATTAATTGGCCTAATAACTTATTTAGTACTTCTGTTCTACTTCCTAGTTCCTTGCGTAGTGTCTGGAATCTTAAAAGCTTGCAAGTGACCATCCAAGGCACAATTGTCTCTATTTGCCTAGAACAACAGAGAAAGAAGGAGAGTCAGGAATAGACAGAGGGTATGGAACGTGCGGCTAATTGCCTCCATGAACAACTCTCTCCTTTGCCATGAAACCAGAAGACCTGGATGGTACCCAGCTATCATTACTGAACATTTTGATCAAAGATTTTATAGAAGAATCCTGATCAAAAGGGAGAAAATGCAGAACAGAATTTCAAATTCTCATGGACTCCAGACTTCCTGGAGCCATGAAGGTTGGAAGAACCCCAGAAGCTATTGCCCTGAGATAATCTTTAAACCTTAAACCAAAAATATCCCCTGAAGTCTTCTTAAAACCAAACAGTAGTTTAGCTTAACTAGTAAAAAATATCTGCCTTGAGCATTGTGCTCTTCTAAGAACTACCTATATGGGATCAAATTGACAATAGCAACTTGAAAGATTATATAGGAACCTTAGAGGGCAGTGAATTTATGTTAAATGGGGGAGGAACAACTCAGAAAAGGGGGTGAAAATGGTTGCACAACTCAAAGAATATAATCAGTGGTGTATGTACAATGGTATATGTAAAAACTGTTGAATTGGCGTATGTTTTGCTGTGTATATTCTCAACACAATAAATAAAATTAAAAAAAAAAAAAAGATTTGTAGCCCTACATTGGTTGCTATCCAGTGCCTACAAATGATTATGTATATATCTCATCCACCTTTTATAGTTGGTTATTGTAGGAAGGTAAGTCCAGTAGCCTCACAATATAATACTAACAGAAAAGTAGTAGGAAAAAAACTTCTGCTTACATTATGATCACTGTTGGGGGAAAAAAAAATGTCTATTCAGTAGGAAAAAGATTGGAAGGATTATACCAAACTATTAAATTGCTGGCCAGATTAGATGAGATCAAGGCACTGAGAGGAATTTATGCTAATACCTGCTTGTATGTGTTTCTTTCTGTCCCTCCAGTACCTCCCTGCACTGGGCTACTCAAAACGGGTCCATCTGATGAATCCTATGGTCCCAGGATTGACTGGCAGCAAAATGAGCTCTTCAGAAGAGGTAGGTTGCCCACTGACTTTGAGTTTAGAAATCTTGAGCAAGAGATGGGGAGATTGAGGACTCATTAGAAAAGTAACCTAGCTAACTAGAATTCTTGAATATTTGAATTATAAGAAACATTAAGTCATCCAATGAATTCAGTGGTTCTTGAGTATTGAAAGACCAATCCTGATGGGATCCAATCATAATTTCAGCAGATTTTACCGCTACTGATAAAAAACACAAGCAAAAGTAATTTCTTCATTTACAAAACTGTGATAAGATTCAGCCTTAGTGATGAGAAGGCGTCGTTGCATTCCACCAATTAGCATCTTGATTCTTTGAGTGATGTATAATACAACTCCTGTTGATAAGCATAGTATCTTTTAACATTTAAAAATCCCTCTTAGGAAAAGTGCACTTTCGTTTTGATCATTAGGAGTACAGAATAGAGGAATTAGTGGAACCCAAAGATATGAAAGTTTAAGTTCTAGGTTCCCAAACATGGATTATCTTCAAATCACCTACGGAACTAAAAAAAAAAATGTTGATTGGACCCTGTCCTTAGATTCTGATTCAGTGATTCTGGGGAGGAACTCAGGAATCTGTTTTTATTTCATAGCTTACTAAACCCATTGCAGTCAAGTCGATTGCGACCCTATAGGACAGAGTAGAACTGCCCCATAGGGTTTCCAAGGAGCAGCTGGTGGATTCGAACTGCCGACCTTTTGGTTAGCAGCTGTAGCTCTTAACCACTGCGTCACCAGGACTTCTGTAACCTACTAGGTGGTTCTAATTTGAGTTTCATTTGAACACTGATCTAGCTCTTATTAGTCTGCCTTCTTGATCTTTGTCTGAACAGAGATTGGGAAATATGTGCATGTGTATTTTTTCACTATTTTTTAAAGGAATATACTCATTCCTTTTTCTCTTATATGCTCCATGTGTTGGTTATTCCTCTGACAAAGTATCAAAACATTCATCCTATATTTGATGACATTTGCCATATCTTAACCCTGGAAATCAGTCCTAGCAGTAGTTCCCAAACTACTGCATCAGAATCCCTTGGAGACCTTTTTAAAAAATACACACGCCTGGTCCAGCTCTAAGAAATTTGAATTCACTAGGTTTGGGTGGAGCCTAATAATTTCTATTTTTTGAAAGCAGCCCAGGTGATTCATATAGAGTCACATGTGGACCACAATTTTGTAACCACTAAACTCAAATGAGCATAGCTTACTCCTTCCAAAATAAATAAAGCCTATTACTCTAAAAAAGGAAAAATGGCTCTAAAGTATATATAATACCTGGTGTTGGTGATTGCCATAAACAAGCAGTGTTGCTTAGTATATCCCTTTCAAAAACAATTCTGGGCCTAGCAATTTTAGATAGTTCAGGAAATAATCCCAGACAAGGCAAAAAACCTCTGCAAAGATGCTCAGTATAGCATTCTTTATAATTTGTAAAAATTAGGGCAATCTAACAGTTTGGAAATTTTTAAGTAAATTATTTTGCCACTAATAATTGGGACTATAATACAGCAAAAAATTATAAATGAAGACTAGGTAAGTAGCCACTCAGAAATACTTAATGATATAGTCTAAAGTAAAAAAGCGAAAAATAGACATTTATTCTCTAACTACAAATTTGTAACAATTCTGTATGCTGTGAACAAGCCCTGGGAGAAACACAGAAAATAGTTTTTATGTGTTGGGTAGCAGGACCATGAGTGGTTCTTTGCTGTGATTAATTCTTTTGTTAAAGATGTTTAATGTTGAAATCTCTGTAGAAAAAAAAAATTTAAATACGCAGAATAGTTGAACATAGTCTCATTTTAACCACAAGAGGTCCTCTTCCCTTCCATGGCTTCTAGGAGTCCAAGATTGATCTCCTTGATCGGAAGGAGGATGTGAAGAAAAAACTGAAAAAGGCCTTCTGCGAGCCAGGGAATGTGGAGAACAATGGAGTTCTGTCCTTCATCAAGCATGTCCTCTTTCCCCTCAAATCTGGTAAGTCACTCCCTGTTTTCTTCTTAGAGACCAGGCTGGAAGAGCAAAACTAGTGCTGTATATCATACTTGTGATCTGTCACCCACTCTTCCTCCAGGAACTGGCTTCCCTGGTTCTGTGCTTGGATTTCTCATATATTAATGTATGGTTGAGGTTGGGATGCTTTTAAAAAATAGAAATTACTAGGTTCCACCCTAGTAAATCCAAATTTCTTAGAGTTGGACCAGGCATTTGTATTTTTTTTAAAAAGTTCTCCAAGGGATTCTGATTTAGTTGTTCATGGGTTTGTTACCAGGCTAGGTTTTGTGGAGGGTGTCAAGGTGGACAGGGGTGATAGAAATGAGGATGGAGACAAGCATATTGAACTTGTTGTTGCTAGGTGCCACCGAGTCAATTTTGACTCATAGTGACCCCACATAACAAGGTAGAACTGCCCCATAGGGTTTCCTTGGCTGTAATCTTTACAGAAGAATATCACCAGGTCTTTACCGCAGGAGTGCTGGGTGGGTTTGAACTGCCAACCTTTCAGTTAGTACCCTTGAGGCCCTTCAGTCCCCGCTGGGTATACAACGTGGCCAGACGTACAATTTAAGAACAATAAAATGTCAGTTAATAAAATTCTAAGTATATGGGAAAAACTCCAAATACCTATGCATTTGGGCTAGGGATGCTGACTCTGCCATTATCAATGAGTTTATTAGCATGGATTCTTGTTTCTTACAGAATTTGTGATCCTTCGAGATGAGAAATGGGGTGGAAACAAAACCTACACGGCTTACTTCGACCTGGAGAAGGACTTTGCTGATGAGGTAATACCAGAAGAGGACTAATCCCCATTGAATTCATTTCTAGTTATGTGCCACAGGGCTTTTCCTCGATGGTCTCCAGGGCTATATATTTTGCTAATGACTTAGATGAAGATTCAGGTGGTTCACAGGCTAAGATGGGCAAATGGCACAAAGCTAATATATTGATGTCCACTCACTCTCCAAAGGACTTGACAGGCTGGAATAAAGGACCAAACCCACCAAGGTGATGTACTTCAGGAATAGATGCAAAATCAGGGTTCAATAAAAAGACACAACTATTAAAGGATGTAATAAAATCCGTTGCTGTCGAGTCGATTCTGACTCGTGGCGACCCCATGTATTACAGAGTAGAACTACTCCATAGGATTTTCTTGGTTGTAATCTATATGGAAGCACATTGCCAGACCTTTCTTCTGCAGTGCTACTGAGTGGGTTCAAACCACCAACCTTTAGGTTAGTAGTCAAGTGCAAATCATTTGTGTCTCACAGAGACCTAAAAGGACATAATAGAGGATACTATTCATTTCAACTAACAGTTTATAAAATAATAAGTGCTCATGTATCAGGCACTATGCTAGTAAGTGGCATTACAAAGAGGATTAAATCCTCCTGAAGCTCAAAATCTAGTAGGTGAGGCAGACATGTAAACAAGTATCGTTTAGTTTGTTACTGCACAATGAAGATACATGGTCCAGAAATAAACTAGGAGGAAGTGATTAACTTTGGCTGTGTCTGGGAAAGCTTTGTGGAGGGGACAATATCCAAGCGCTGGTCACTTGAAGAATAGGAGTTATGAGGAAGTTGGTGAGGGAATAAATTGTACAAAGACATGGAAAGATGAAATAGCATGGTCTAGAAGGGAACCACAAGTAGTTTGGTCTGAATGGAGTCTAAAAAGTGAGGTGGAACATTGAGGGAGAGATAGGCCGAGCCAGGTCATAAAGGGAAGACTTGATAATAGTGTTTATGGAAATGAAATGGGGAATCCTGGTTGACTCCGAATTTGGGTTGAATCAGCAGTGAGGTGGTGCTGTCAGAAAAGTTAATGAAGTCTCAGCTAAGTCATCAGAAATGTAGAGTCAGGAACAGGGAGGAGACAATCCACTTTGTTCGCCATTGTTCTGAGTGCATTTGGGGTTGTGCGTTCAGCCCTGGACTTGAAGTAGAAGAGGTTTATATGACAACCTGGGGTATACTGATGGAGGAAGGAAGGATGCCATAATAGGGAACAGACTCAATACCATGTTACAAAAGGCACAGTTGAAAGAACTGGGACTGTTTAGCTGAGAAGCAAGTATGTGCTCAGTCATCCTCAAATATGTGAAGGGCTCTAATGGAAGAGGGGTTAGGTTTCTTGCGGCTCCAGAAGGCTAAACCAGCACTGTGGGTGGGAACCACAGGGAGGCAGGCACGTCTAGATTCAGCATCATGAAGAACTTTCTAGTGACCTCAATTGTTTGGTGATGGACTGAACTGCCTCAATTGACCTTACATTCCCCATCATGGGAGGTGTTTAGGCAGAGGCTGGAGGACCACTTTGAGGCAGTGTTATTTGAGGGTTTGAGCATCCAATGGAGGGAAAGACTAAATGAGGGTTGAAAACCCTTAAGGTTCAAATGTGTGATGTTTCACAGCCATTCCTCTGAAGCCCTTCTGTCTGCAGTCTGAGGCAGGCCACAGAACCCACACTCCACTCTTCAACCCCATAAACAGTCCTTGTGGGAATAATGAGAAAGAATAGATGAAATGCCTGTGAAGACAGGTCTGGAGCAATGTTATCCAGTAGCATTTTCTGTGATAGACATGTTCTGTCTGCACTGTCCAATACAGTAGCCGCTGGCCACATGTAACTATTGAACACTTACAATGTGGCTAGTGCAGCTGAGGAACTGAATTTTAATTAATTTACATTTAAATACCCACAGGAGGCTAGTGGCTACCGTATTAGAAATCACAGGTCTAACGCTTTTGTGTTGTTAAAAATTAAATACTCCCAAGGAAATGAAGAAATATTATCAGAAACAAAAATGTAGGCATTGTTGTATCACAGGTATTCATACCTAAGTGATATCCCCCCCCACCAAATATCTGGAAGATCTTTTCAGACCAGATTTGGGATGTAAAAGTGGTAATTACAGGACAAGAAAAATTGAATTACTGAACTTCTAGGTGGCAGAAATGATTTGCACTTGACTACTAACCTAAAGGTTGGTGGTTCAAATGCACGCAGCAGTGCTGTGCAAGAAAAGCCTGGCAATTTGCTTCAATAAAGATTACAGCCAAGAAAGCCCTATGGAGCAGTTCTGTTCTGTAACACATGAGGTCACCATCAGTCGGGACTGACTCAATGGCAACGGGTTACCATGTAGTATCGCTACTCTCAGTATTTTCACCCATATTACCTGACTTAATCCTCATTCTCACCCTTTGAGATATAGTGTTGTCCCCATTTTATAAGTGAAGAAGCCAAAACTTAAAGAGGTTCAGTGCCTAGTTCCGGGTCACACAGTTAGCTGGGACTCTAACCCAGTTCTAACTCCAAAGCCCTTGTTCTTTCTTATATATCATTCACCTCTCCCACAGGTTGTCTTTATTCTCTGCCTGTAAATAATAGTTAGTTTGTGCCACTACTCTAAGCATAAATGGAGGGACTAGAAGAATTAAACTAATAAATATATTCAGCCTCTTAAAAAAAAAAAAAAAACAAAACATAAACAAAACCTGTTGCTATTGAGTCAGTTCTGACTCATGGTGACCCCATGTGCTACAGAGTAGAACTGCTCCATAGGATTTTCTTGGCTATAATCTTTTATGGAAGCAGATCACTAGGCCTTTCTTCCTTGGTACCAGTGAATGGGTTTGAACTGCCAACCTTTAGGTTAGCAGCTGCCAATAACAAACCACTTCCTCCATCGAGGGACCTATTCAGCCTCTGAAAACCCTCAAATTAGTATGGAATTTAGAGTCAAAATACCTGGATCTTGGACAACTCAGTTAACTTTTCTGAACCTGTTTCCCCTTACCTGCCTTATTGTGAGGATCAAATAAGACTCTGCTGGGAAAACACTGTGCATCCTATATGAACATTATTCTTAGTAGATTTAGCTGTCCTGTGTCCTGTTTGAGTCCCTCATCTCACCAGCCCTTGCACACTTCTACAGATTGTCCACCCAGGAGACCTAAAGAATTCTGTTGAAGTCGCCCTGAACAAGTTACTGGATCCCATCCGGGAGAAGTTTAATACTGCTGCACTGAAGAAACTTGCCAGTGCTGCCTACCCAGATCCCTCAAAGCAGAGTAAGGGCAGCTGGGGAGAGGAAGGGTCAAGCAGGGGGATGACAGCATCAGGAGAGAGAGCCTGTCTGGGGCCTCAGAGAAAGGTCTGTCTTAAATTGATGGCTTAAAAACCCAGGGAGTCTGAAGCGCAGGAATGCCATATCCCATTGACTACTGGAATGGAATTTGAGTCATCTTGGTTTTGGTTTGGTCAATGCCATAAAATGATTACGTCCTGTTGTACCAACACTGTTGAGAGATGCTGGCATGAGGCATGGACTTTGATCCTTTAGTCTGTGTTCATGAAATTTGCCTCTTCATTAAGGAGGAGACCAGTTGACTTAGACCACGAGGTTGGTAACCTGTTGTACAGCTGCTGAGGCAGAGCCTGTACAGCTTCTCAGGGAAGCTCATCTTTAGATTCTCCCAGTTCCCTTCCATGTGATTTGACTGGCTCTTAGTTGGCTGTCCTCTTATCCATGATGCTAAAATATTAACAGTGATAGCTTTGTGTGACCCTCCCAGAAAAGACTCAGTAAATATATATGGAATGCATGAATGGAAATGCCAAAAGGCTGCAAAGTTACTACTGCACCCCCTGCCCAACCCCTGCCCAACATCTGAGGGAGAGAATAGATGAGAACCTAACATGTCACTTCTGAAAGGTTGCTGACCCTGTTTTAAAGAAGGTATAACTCAGTGGGTAGGTACTGGGAGTTCTGCACTAAATCCTGCCTGTTTTCAGTGCCCTCATTTGTTGGAATCAGAAGCCTGCATAGGGAACGAGAGTTCTGACTCCTTGGGGTTCTTCTCATTCCCAGAGCCAGTTGCCAAAGGTCCTGCCAAGAATTCAGAACCAGAAGACATCATCCCATCCCGGCTGGATATCCGTGTGGGGAAAATCATCAGTGTGGAGAAGGTACTCATTTTTCAACACATCCTGGGGAGGCAGTGAGTGGTCAGGCTTTGTCTGTTTCCATCTGGAGGAAACCTGGCCCGGAGATGGGAAGTAACATCCCTGAGGTCATATTGCAAGTCAGAACCCAGGTGTCTAATTCCAGGCCTCAGGCTCTCTGTAGCGATTACTGCCCATGGACCTTACTCAACCAAGCACAGCCAGGAACTCAGAGGGGCAGATGTAGGTCAGAGGGAACTTGTTTATCCATTAAATCTGGCCTGGTAGACCTCACCTGGTCTCTACCAGCTTGCCTGGACTCGCAGCAGGCCTTATCTTGGATCTTTCACTTTGTCTGCGCCCCGCAGAAAGTGAAGGAAGGACTTGCTTCTTCCCAGAGACAGAAAGTTAGGCAACCAGTAGCCTAGGACCATTATTCTGGGCTTTTTGTTCCCCATCATGGATTTGCTTTTCACTATATAGACCCAGGAGCCCTGTGGGCACAGTAGTTAGGAGCTCGGCTGCTAACTAAAAGGTCAGCAGTTCGAATCCACCAGCTGCTCCTTGGAAACCCTATCGGGCAGTTCTGTTCTGTCCTGTAGGGTTGCTATGAGTCGGAATCGACTCAATGGCAATGGGTTTGGTTTTTTTGGTTTTATATAGACCCAACCTCTAAAACTACCTTGAGATAGCTGCTCCTGCTCTAGCTTCAGCTGTTGAGACCAGCAGTTGTCCTCCTCCTACCTTCCAGTCCACCTAGGAGCCGTCTGGTGCAGCAGGTGGGTGTAATGGTAGCTACCCAGACAGACCAGGCCATTTAATCTCTGTCAGAGATTCCTTTTACTTCTTACACAACATTTAAGCTCATTTTACTCAAATCCTGCCTCTTAGTTAAGAGTAGAATAAAGACCCATTCTCCTCTCTGCTCTCTGGGACCTGGAAAGAGTTAGCTCTTGAAGGTCCCTCTGGAAGTCTCTTAGAAATTAAAGTGAATGTCCCTTTCTGAAGTCAAAGGGTTGACCAGCCCCATGATGTACTCCATTATGATACTCTCTGGGCCTGACACCTCTTGCCGGCAGCACCCAGATGCAGACAGCTTGTATGTGGAGAAGATTGATGTAGGGGAAGCGGAACCACGGACTGTGGTGAGCGGCCTGGTGCAGTTTGTGCCCAAGGAGGAACTGCAGGACAGGCTGGTGGTGGTGCTGTGCAATCTGAAACCCCAGAAGATGAGAGGAGTCGAGTCCCAAGGCATGCTTCTGTGTGCTTCTATGTGAGTGAGAACATGGGGTGGGGCACAAGACCTGGGGAGGCCAAGAAGAATGGGGAATTGGCCCACATGGTGCCCTTCCACATTGCCAGGTGGAATCCACGAGAACGCTCTCCTCTTCTTCATTAACAAACGCCAAAAGATAATGCGTGAAGGGGTTACTTATTGTACACGTACTGTGCACTTTACCTAGTTAATTTTATTAAAACAAATTGAGGGCTCAAAGCATTGTGTATGTGCCCAAGTCTACTATTACTAAGAGGTGGAGCTGGGATTCAAACTCAGTTCTGATTGGCTGTGAAGTTCTTACACTCTCTTTTATGCCCCACTTCCTCCTCTGTTAGTTGCCATCTTTTGGTACCGCCCCTGACACAGGATTTCCATGTTGTTGTTGTTGTTAGGTACCCTCAAGTTGGTTCTGACTCATAGTGACCCCATGTACAACAGAACGAAATACTGCCTGGTCCTGTGCCATCCTCACAATCATGGCTATGTTTGAACCCACTGTTGCAGCCACTGTTTCAGTCCATCTCGTTGAGGGTCTTCCTCTTTTTTTGCTGACCCTGTACTTTACCAAGCATGATATCCTCCAGGGACTGATCCCTCCTGATAACATGTCCAAAGTACGTGAGATGAAGTCTCGCCATCCTTACTTCTAAGGAGCATTCTGGCTGTACTTCTTCCAAGACAGATTTGTTCATTCTTCTGGCAGTCCATGGTATATTCAATATTCTTTGCCAACTCCGTAATTGAAAGGCATCAATTCTTCTTGAGTCTTCCTTACTCATTATTCATCCCTCACATGCATATAAGGTGATTGAAAATATCATGGCTTGGGTCAGGTGTACCTTAGTCCTCAAGATGACATCTTTGCTTTTTAACATTTTAAAGAGGTATTTTGCAGCACATTTGCCCAATGCAATATGTCATTTGATATCCTGACTGCTGCTTCCATGGGCGTTGATTGTGGATCCAAGTAAAATGAAATCCTGGACAACTTCGATCTTTTCTCCATTTATCATGATGTTGCTTATTGGTCCAGTTGTACCCCTGGTGAATCCAACCCTGGTGATAATCCGGAGATAGAGTAAAGCAATGAAGACCTCCTGGGGCTCTGGCACTGAAGATGCTCCAGATCCCATTAGGACACTTATGTAAAGACCCAAATTGCCTTGATCTTCACAGCAGCTGGAGGGATTTCATAGCCTCACCTTTTCCTTGCCCTGTATGTCTTCACAGAGAAGGAGTAAGCCGCAAGGTTGAACCTCTGGACCCTCCTGCAGGCTCTGCTCCTGGAGAGCGAGTGTTTGTGAAGGGCTATGAGAAGGGCCAACCAGATGAAGAGCTCAAGCCCAAGAAGAAAGTCTTTGAGAAGTTGCAAGTAAGTAGTTGTAGCTGTTACCCCCTTCCCTGAGTTGTCTGGGCTGTGTGCCCCAGGCTGCTTGTGTTATTGAGTCCACAGCTGCCCCTTTCCCAGCTGGGATTTATGCACCTAAGCCCTTCTTTTCCTTCTTCATTCCAGACCTTTCTGAGTGAGAGTGCCTGAGGAGCATGGGGGGCAGGGAGGCAGGGTGATCTTAGAAGGACCATGTATGTACTAAGCACTGACAGGCTATTTGAGGCACTGTGTGAGGGGCTTCAGCCATTTCCTCATTGGATTTTCAGTCTGTAATGGGAAGAGATTATCCCCCATTTTACGTAGCAGGATACCTGCCAAGGCCACACAGGATCACCAGAAGTGATGGAGCCAGGATCAAAACCCTCCCATGATCCCCCCTGCCCACCTTGATCTTTCAGAGCCCTCATTCTCTCTTTACCCTCTGAGCATTGACTCATATGTGGCTTGCCTCTGGAATTCAATTTATTCAACAAATTTTGAGTCATATATATATACGACTATATATATATATATAGACACATATACATATATATGTATGTATGTACATGGAGCCCTGGTGGCGCAGTGGTTAAGTGATAACGGCTGCGAACCACAAGGTCGACAGTTCAAATCCATCAGCCTCTCCTTGGAAACCTTACGGGGCAGTTCCACTCTATCCCGTAGGGTCGCTGTGGGTCAGAATCAACTTGATGGCAGCAGGCAATGGGTGTGTGCGTGTGCGTGCGTGTGCGGGTGCGTGTGTGCGCGCGCGCGTATACATATGTATGTCACCTTTGGGTGGCGCAAACGGTTTACTCTCAGCCACTATAGTTTGCTGGTTGAAACCCACCTAGTGGCACCATAGAAAAAGGCCTGGCAATCTGCTTCCATAAAAATTACTGCCAAGAAAAGCCTATGGAGCAATTCTACTCTGTTAAAACACGGGGTTGCTATGAATCAACTTATATATGTGTCAGGCACTATTCTAGGTGCTTGGGCTACGTTACTACATTAGTGAATAAAGTAGCGAGAAAAACCTCTCTTTGTGGAACTGACACTTCATGTGTGACTTGTTCTAATTTATACCTTATTTCTTCAATTAGACAGAATGCTTTTGGGGCATTCAGGGTGGTTTCTTCCTTTCTCCCATCCTCCTGCCATGGCACATAGCTTTGCCCACTCTGTCCTTCCTGCTTTTTCCAAGCTCATTTTTTCTGACTGTAAATTTTTGTTGTATAAAATGTCTAAGATAGCCATAGTCCTGCCACCTAGAGATATAAAGCCATTAGTGATTATTTCTTTCTGGTCTTTTTCTGTGCATAAAGATATATTTACAGTTTGAGTCTACCTTATGTTTATCCTGCCTTTTTTATTTAATTTTATGCCTGAAAATGTTCCCATCTTCTTAAATATTAAGAAGGGAGTTCACATTATGATAGTATTCTATCATAATTGTCATAATTTAATGAAAACCTTATTAGACATTGAGGTAGTTCTCAGTTTTTCACTATTCAAATGCAATGATGGATGTCCTTGTACATAGGGCCATGATTATTTTCTTACTGGAATCCCTAAAATGAATTTACATGAGTTAGAAGATACAAACATGCAGGCTTTTGGCAAACTGCTGTCTCAGGAAAGCTGAATGAGTTTGCACTGCTTGTAGTATAAGAGAGTCCCTGTTTTCTTACAGTCCCACCATCATCACTGTAATCACTTTTTTTGGTCTGTCTTGTCCAGGCTGACTTTAAAATTTCTGAGGAGTGCATCGCACAGTGGAAGAAAACCAACTTCATGACCAAGCTGGGGCACGTCTCTTGTAAATCGCTGAAAGGGGGGAACATTAGCTAGCCCGCCTGGCAGCTGCCTCCCTCCTTCCATCATCCCGAGTCATCTGCTGCCTCCTTAGTTTGCTCCGTCCGTCATCCATCTACCTATCTCCCAGGACACTGAAGCAGCAGGTTTGGGACTCTTTGGGACTGCTTAGGTGCAGAATTCATAAGGGGCAGCTCACCCTCCCCAGAATCCGGGATCATCTTGTCTGGCTGCCTTCAGGGCTGACCTCCCAGGCAGTAATAGGGCAGGACAGCAGCAGGGAGTCCAGCTCTACCTTCTTCCCTTGGCAGCTGACTTTGAGAATCTGGTTCCAATATAACTCACAGAAAAAGCTTATGCCACAGTCCTTCTAATTGGAAAAGCATTGGTTCCCAGGTTTTCCAGGAGTTATTCCAGCAGCTGTGCCTCTGGCTAAGATCTGGTGCCTGGACTGGACTAATGACACCTTCTCCCCAACAAGAAATTGTGGGATTTGAAAAGGAAAAGGAAGGGAAAGCAGAGAACCTAGTGGTCTACCAAGTGGTTGGCATCGTTCCCTGATGCCTGCCAACCCTGAGGCTTGGCACTGGAGGGCAGGGCCTGCCTCAGAGCTCCTGGAATTTCCATGGATCTTATTAGGTTGGGACACTCCCTAAACCAGCTGTGTGTTGCTCGCATCAAGGGTGGAGTGGCTGGCACAGCGTGGTTCTCCAGAGGGTGGAGTACTCCATAAGGCTTCTCAATCAGAATCGCGTTACCTATCTATCTCTGTAATGAATTCAAATAAAATGTCTGATCAAGGGTGCCTGGTTGGGGCCTGTTCAGGAGGGAGAGGAACACAATGTGAAGCAGCTGCTGAGACCCTCACCAGCCTGGGGCTGCTTGTGTCGCAGGACTTTTGACCCTGAAGTTGGGGGTGGAGATGATAAGATGGATGACAGACACCTTGACTCTCCCCTTTGGCAGTACAAACAGGAGAGGCCCACTTTTGGGTCCCCAGGCAGAACACTCTCCCTGCTAAATGTGGGCCCAGACCACAGCCCTGTCCCCCATCAAGAAGCAGTAGCCACAGCCAAGTTTTAATTATTTAATTAATTAACACCTTTAAATGAAACACATACAGAGCTTTTTCACTGTGTCTCATTCAGGTTTCAGGGCAGAGGGAATGGACTGTGTATAGACATATCAAAGACTCAAAAATTTAAAGAAATATATATATATATTTCTAACATTTTTATAGAAATTAAAAATCAGAGGCTTTTGGTCTCTCCATTGCGCTAGGTCAAGCTCATTTACCCCAGGGAATGAGGAAGGGTTGTCTCTTCCAGATCCTCTATTCTCCTTTGTCTTCTGTCCCACCCAGAAGGAAAATAAGCTCAGAAGATCCTAGCTGAGGATAAGGATCTCAAGTAACATTGGGAGGAGGAGAGGAAAGGGGACATTTAAGTCCCTCCCACCTCCGGCAGCTCCAAGGCTGCCGCCAGGGCCTGGTTCCACAAGGCTTCGACCCGGTCCTGGTTCCTGGGGGGTTGGGAGCAGATCAGGAGCTCTGAGCGCAGCAGTGCTCAGTGATTGTCCTCTTTCCCCAGCTCACTGGGCAGGTGCAACATATTCCCACATAGCACTCCACTACCCAAAGGGCAAGGGCAGAACATCAGTTTGTAGCTACAGGGAGAAGACGGTATAGTAAGTCCCCGGGTACAGAAAGTCCCTGGGTTTCGAACGTCCCACTTAAGGACAACTCGTACTTACCCTTCCATGTTACGTAAATTTGCCCTCAACCCCTACTCACAATAAATTCTTCATCACAGTCACCTTCACTGGCTGCACCTGCAGCTTTTAAATCTTTGAAAAGGCTTCAAGCCTTTTCTTGCACTAAAGTAAGGCTGAATAGGAACAGTATGCATCTGTTCTGACCTACCTACAAATTCAACTTAAAGACTAGCTTAGGAACAGATGTCGTTCATAACTCGGGGAGTGCCTGTAGTGACAAACTGAAGATGCCCGAGAGAGGGCCAGAAGAAACTGGGCTCTCACACAACGTCCCTTGTGTTCCCAGCTCTTGTTCTGGAGGGAGGTCTATCTCTCTTCTTGGCAGAGGACAGGAACCTATAAGCTAGGTTCCTTGCCAGCTCAAGCCTGAGTCATTGTTGAGGAAAGGGGCTCCAAAAGAAGGGGGCCCTAGGTGGCAGCCAGGCTGTTATGAGCAAGGCACTAGGGCCACCGCTGGAGCCACGGGGGAATAGGGAAGCCAGCTTACCTAGAGATGGTACAGGCTGAAACTAGGAAGGTCATTAAAACTACCGGAAGAGAAAGCAGTAGCAGAGGCTGATGTCTAGGGGGTGACCACTCAGCCGCTCCCTAGGAGCACTGGGTGCCCTCTCCATTGATTAGGGAAGAGTCTGGAATAAAATGCCCCTTTGGCTTCCCATCCTTGTCACTCAGAGTCAGCACCCCACAGTAGAACCAGCTGTGCTGAGAAGCAGCTGCAGAAAGGACAAGCAGCTGCAGAAAGGACATGAACCAAGAGTAAAGAGAAACGTCAGAGAATGAAGTCCATAGCGCCAGGTCTGGGCCCACAACCCAAATAAGCTCTCCCCCACCAGACCCTCCCCACCACCTGCTGCCTCAGTACTTCCTGCTGAGCTGAAAGGGGCACAGCCCCACTGCAGCCCTTGGGCTCCAGCCTCTTGAGTATTGTGCCCACCCACCCACCCCCAACCTGATCAGGTGGAACAAGGAGCAGATGCTTGGCATTGCCAAGCACCCACTGAGATGACGCCCTACTCTGTTCTCTGAAGACAGAGCCTGTGTGTACTTCCCCTCTGGTCTTTCCTCCCCCCATCCACTTGGACCCTGGCAGGCCCCTTGTCCCCTGCATGGAGCACCTGGCAGAACTGGAAGTCAGGAGGGTGGTTGGTGATGAGTTGAGGCACAGGAAGGTTAACCTCCCCTGTACCTTTTGTGCTTTGGAATTCCACAGCCCACCCCCGCCCCTGCCCCCAGCCTGGGGGAGCCTGGGGGAGTACAGTGACTAGTCCACCTCCAAGAACTAAGGAAAGGAGCAAACTGGATGAGGGGGAGGGGACAGATTGGTCACAGCTATGGGCTGGCCAGAGGATGGATGCTGCTGCCATGTAAACAGGCCCCCTGGAATGTGGCTTCATGGGGTCTGGAGGATGGACACGCAGGCACTTTTCAAAAGTGCTTTGATTCTGGACTACAGTATGTGCGTGGCTCTGAGCTCATTCAGACATGGAAAAATGGGGGGGAAAGAAAAACTCAAGCGAGGTATTCTGATCCCAATTCTGTGGCCTCAGGACTAGCAGGGGGCGCAGCCACCTACTCCTACCAGCTACCTCCTTCCAGATGAGGATAAGGCCAAGACTGAAGTGGCAACTGCAGAGGTGAATCCATTTGGGAAAAGGCATGAGAACTGGGTGACTTGGAGGGCAGGGATCAATACCAGGCTTGCATAAATATCGAAGGTCGTGGAGGTTAAGGCTGCAGGCTTCCTCTCTATTAGGTTGTGTCTGCCAAGTCCTCTCGTCCTTGGAGCTGCTCAGGTCCCTGAGAGATTGTGTTCCTGGGCTGGGTCAGCAGTGCCAGTGACGTGTCAGACCAGCTCTTTCTGTGGGTCTGTGAGGAAAAATAAGGCACACTGAGGGGGCATCCCAACTTGGCTCTGGCTCAAGGCACATCCTCACCCAGCCTTTTCCTACCCCCTCAGTTTAACTGAGCATGACGACCATGCCAGCAGCATTGGCCTGGACACTTGACACTTTACTCTAAAGCACTATGATGTAGATATCATGGCCCCACACTTCACAATGAGGAACATGAGGCTAGGACAGGCCAATGAAGTGGCAACGTTGGAATTCAAACTGAGTAGGTCTGACTCGAAAGCGCCCACGTATCATGCTCCTTCACTGTCGCTTGTCAAGAGTGACAGTTCACCCTTCCCAGGCATCCTAAAGCCAGAAAAAAGTCTTCAAGATCCAAGCAAATCCCTAAACGGTGGGCCTTCAGATACCTATTTCCCATCCACAGTGAGGGGACCCACACTCCACCACTGCCCACTGTACCTGAGCCCGGCAGGCCCTGCCTCTGTTCCTCTGGGCCCACCAGCTGCACAACGCCTCCATTCTCCGCCAGTTCCCCTTTAGTCCTGTTCTCAGCATGAAGGAGCCCATTGGTGGGAGGAGCAGTAAGGGGCTCAGCCCGAGGAAAGCTAGGAGAGGCAGGTGGGGGAACTCCCACATAGGGCTTGCGGGCCACAGGTGGGGGAGCCTTAGGTGGCTTCTTTGGGGCCTGGGACGGCCGTTGCTCAGAGATGCTCCGAAGTTCGGCCACCAGATTCCGCTGGAGGTCAGCCTGGGACTCAGGTGACACAGGCCTCTCTAGCTGCAGCTTCTTAGTGCCCTTGGAGAAGATGAAGCTGGCTGTAGAGGCAGGGGACTGGGGAGGCTGTGGCTCAGCTTCAGGTGGTCCATTGGGCTGGGCACCTACGAGGCCCTCACTGGTAGCCAGACTGGAGGCCTTGAGCTGGATGGCAGCATGGAGCCCTGAGGGAGCAGGGGCTGGGCTGGCCCGCCCAGACAGGGCCCTTCGTAGTGGTTTCTGGGGGGCCGGTGGCCCCAACGCTGGGGTTGAAACCCCTGTGGGCGTGCCCACAGAGCGCAGCCGCACCATCTGCAGGAGCGAGGGCGTGACCAGGGGTGCACCGGAGTCCTCCCTGGAGGCCCCACTGCTCTTGCTGCAGCCCACTGGTTCCTTCTGAGGAAACTTGGCCAGAGGCCCTGGGGCAGAACTAGCAGAAGGTGGGGCTGGGGGAGCTGGAGGCTCTGGGGCACCATGAGGCTGGCTGTGGGAAGAGACAGTGGCTGCGGGGGGCAAGGTGGCCAAGGGACTGGCAGGCTCCGGGAGTTCTGAAGGGCCTGCAGGCTCAGAACCCGTCAGAGAGAAAAAAGCCTCCTCAGGTGGGGGGAAGTCAGCCATGGACAGGTCCTGCTCCACAGGCGCGGGTGGTGGGGGTGGGGGCCAGCTGGGATCTTGGAGGGGCTCCTCAGCAGTCTCTGGGGCAGACGGGGCCTCCTCAACCACCTCTGGCTTCTTAGTGGGAGGTGGGGGTGGATGGTAAGATGGGGGTGGGGATGGTGGGGGTGACTGGTCTTTGGAGACCACAGGAGACTCCTGTGGTGGGGTCGGAGATGTCTGGGGAATGGGAGGGGACTCAGGACTGGCATCAGTGGTAGAGACAGGCCCAGGAGCCAGAGCAGGGGCAGCCTGGTTGGGGGTCTTGGGCTTAAAGGGGGGTGGGGAGAAGGGGGCAGGCACCTTGGGGTGAGGAGGTATGATGAACCTGTCACCCAGGGTGGTCGACATGTGTGAACCAGATCGGTCTGAGGGGGCTGGGTCGGAGGAGGAGGAACACAGAGAAGTGAGGGAGGAGGAGACGGAGACCCCAGGAGATCGCAGGGAAGTGACCCGCTCTGGCTTAGGGGGCTGGGCCTTGCCGGGGGATGCCGGGGCACCTGTCAGACCCTTGGGAGGAAGGGTAGGGGTACCACTTTGGCTCGAATATCCACTAGAGGGTGAGAGTGTCCGTTCTGGGGAGCGTGGGGGACGCCGGGAGCCAGCTGGAGATAAGCCAGGCACCCAGCTGCATGCTGAATTGGATGGACAGGGTGCTGCCCTCACCCCTTCTGACCCACCAGTGGTGGGAGGCCGAGGCAGCTGTGGCTGCTGCTTCCGCTCAGCCTTGGGCGGCAACCCCAAGGGCCCATCAGGGGCCACTGAGCCCCGCTGATGGAGCGAGTAGGTCCGGCGGGGGGGCGGTGGGGGCCGCTTCAGCTTACGCAAGGACACGCTCCGGCCAGACAACTGCCCACTGCTCCGAATGCTGCCTGTGTCTGAGGCCTCAGCAGTGCTGCCCCCACTGGGAGAGCCCCTCCCACTGCCCCCCTGGGGAGGGGCTGCCACACTAGCGCCAGCCACAGAGCCCTCTGGCCGGCCCTCAGAGCCACCCTTAGAGGACAGGGTGGAGCCGTCAGACACAATGGTCTCAGACGATTGAGAGTGGCTCCAGGTGTCGCTGGAGGAGGAAGGGTGGCGGCTGCGGGGCCTTGGACTTGAGGCTGAGAAGAAACAGCCCAGCGAGCGGATGGAGGCCGGGCTGGCCGAGAGCAGGCTGCAGCGGCTCAGTGTGCGCAGGCTGCAGCGGCCCAGGGCCACCACATCCACTGTGGGTGGCAGCACTGCATGTGGGATCAGCTTTGATAGGTAGGTGGCCTGGGGCGAGATGGACATGGCTGGGCTTAGGGATTCTGGAGGCCCCACCCCTCCCGTCAGCCCGGGCACTGCCAGGGACATGGGCCGGGTCAGTGGTGGGGGCCGGGCCCCTGTGGACCGGCCAATAAGGGTATCATCCCGGTAGATGCGGTCGATGTGGTGCTGCAGCATGGCCTCAGCCTCGGCACTGGCTTCTGCCTCCACCTCCAGTGCCTGCAGAGACACCCGGACCCCTGTCCCTGAGGCCAGGCCTGCTGGGTGGCCATCCACTGTGGGAATGCGTACAGCATCCCGGGGACCAGAAGGCCGAGGAGTACCTGGTGCCTCATGCTTATTCCGCAGGCCTAGGACAGACAGGATGGAGGCAGGAGTCAGCAGAGCCGGGCTGGTCGGGTTCCCACCCACCACTGCCCCCAACCAGGCTCACCAAGTTCCTTCTGCACATGCTGCGGCAATCCCAGCACTGTGCTTCGCCGCTCTCGCTGCCGCCGCCCTGACTTTCCGGATGATTTGGGAAATGAGTCATGGGGTCGGAAGGTGGAGCCTGGAGACCAGACCAGGGGAGAAAAGCCGTTAGAGGAGGTCGCAGGGCACGTTCTGCAGACCGCTACTTTTGTAGAATATTAATAAGAGCTCTGCAAAAACAAGATTTCCCAGAGTCAAGTAGGCATGGGCAAAGCTAGGTTAAACAAAGCTAGAGGCTTCTTTTCTGGAAGCCTTTACCAGGTCAATAATGATTATTTCCATTTAGTGAGCGCTTACTATGGTGTTTGGAGCCCTGGTGGCGCAGTGGTTAAGCACTTGGCTGCTAACCGAAAGGTTAGTGGTTCAAATCCACCAACTGCTCTGCCAGAGAAAGATGTGGCAGTCTGCTTCCGTAAAGATTTACCGCCTTGGAAACTGTATGGGGCAGTTCTGCTCTGTTCTTTAGGGTTGCTATGAGTCAGAACTGACTCAATGGCAATGCGTTTGGTTTTTACTACGTTGTTATTCAGCATGCTAAGCACTTGGCGTTCATTCCAATGAGGTAAGTACTGCTCTTATTAACCCCATTTTTATAGAACATCAAACTAAAGCTCAGAGAGATTAATGATTTGCCCAAGGTCACACAGCTGGTAGTAGCAACACCAGGCCTCGAACTCAGGTGTCCCAACTTCAGAGCACACATTCTTGACTATCCTGCTTTGCAGTCAATATGCATCATGAATCTCCAAGAGGACACAGAGTACTGTGTTTCCTGAATTCATTGACTCACAGAGCCTTGGGAAACTGCAGGTGCGGGGGCCCCCCACTCCTCCCCTGCTCGAGAATCCCGGTAGGCAGGCGAGCAGACACCTTTGCGCTGGATCATCTCTGAGCGGATGGAGAGTGCATCCTCTGCTGTGGAGCTCTCAGACGTGTAGGATGTGGTCTGGCTGCAGAAGGAGACACTGTCTTCATCTGGTGCCGTCCGGGAGGACTTTTGGGGAAAGAAGAGGGTCAGGCCTTGGCCTCAAACCCAGGGCCATCCCAGAGGCCTGGGTGAGGCTGACCATTGACTTTTACTTCACAGGTCCTTTCCCCCATCCCCCAGCACCACCTACTACTGAGGAGCATCAGCTGGAGCAGCTCCGTCTGGACTAGCCTGTATGGGTCATCTAGCCTAGCCCCTTCAGGATACAGGAAGGAAACTAGACCCAGAGGGGTCCAAGGCATACTTGCCAGAGGCCAATCAGGGAGGGAAGAGCAGAGTCAGGACTGAGCTGGGGGGCGGTGCTCACCTGGATGCTCTGGGTGTCTCCATGGTCCCAGCTGCCCTTGTTCAGCTTCTGTTTTTCTGGAAGACACCAGAAGAGTGCACTGGGCTAAGCCCCTGCCCCAGAGAGCGGAGAGGGTAGCACTGGTGGAGGCGGGGGGTGGGGGATTACCTTGGTGCTGTAGGGAACGGAGCCCCTCCTGGGCCTGCGTGTGCAGCTCCTCCAAGTGAGGCGGTCGCCCACTGGGGAAGAAGACATTGTCCTGCTGCTCATTCACGACAGGCCCTGCACTTAGACGTTTGTCACTCTCAGCCGTGGCAGAGCCTAGTGGGATAGAGGAAGAAGGGAAGTGAGGCCCAAAGGCACAGGCTCCTCAACAAGGGCACCCATAAACCCCAGACTACACACGGACCCTGAACATATAGCCCCCAACCTGTACACACAACCCACAGTTCTGGGACATATACTCAGTACATACAGCCCCCATGTACATATACAAACTATGCCCAAGTGTGCATGTATCTGAGTACCCACATCACCCAAGAGGCCCCATAAAAGGCACCACATATGAGCACACAAGACCCATCATACAAGCACAACACCCACAGGCTTCAGTCTACATCCAAACAGTACCCCAGTATAAACACATCTGTGTACTCAGACCACACGAGGGCCCCACATAGGACACACCCAGCCCCTGCGTATATACACAACCCCCACAGTCCCCATTCTGTACATACACAAACAGTACCCAAGTATATACACAACTGTGTACCCACACCTCACTCAGGGCTCCATGCAAGACCCTCCTAACAAACATACTGCTGCTCATATCAAATAACATTTCTCCTGTTTCTAGACCCTAAGCCCCACTTTACAGGAAACAAACCATCTTTTCTGCACAACCCTTTGACCCAGTCTAGGAAGAGGACACCATGGAAGGGGCAGAGGCTAGCAGGGATTATAACCAGATTCCCAGAAAATCCTAGGGGGAGGGACAGACCAGGGATATGGCCTCTTGGGTCCTCTACTCACCCATGTGGCTGCCCGTTAGTGGAAGGATAGATAGGGGAAGGGGGAAGAAGGACCTGGTCCCCCCACCTCAGCCAAGGCAGCTCCAGCCTCTCTTGGGGGAGCAGTGCTAGGTATCCCCCTCTACTGAAGGCCCCAGCCTTGGCCCCTGGTGCAGAGGAGTCAGGGATCCATTACAAAGGATCCAGTTACAGGTCCCGCCCATGGGGGGACTGGTCATCTAATCCTGGAGGGGGGCGCTGTGTCAGCAGTTAGCAACCCCAGCCCCCCTTTAAATGGAACCCACAACATAAGCAAAAGCTCAGGGATGGTCATGTGACCTTGGCAGCACCTTGTAGAGGGGCAGAAACAAAACAAACCCTTTAAAGGGCCACGCCCCAGGAACAGGGTCTTCAGTAGGACACCTGCCCTTACCTCCTTCCTCAGCCCATTCGTCAAAAGCCAGAGCTCCTGCCCCAGAGAAACTGCAATAATCCTACAAAGTCAAAGAAAAGGGGTCCCCCAGTGGATGTTCTCGCCAAACCCCCTGATTTTACAAGTGGGGACAGGCTCAGAAAGGGAAAAAGCCTTGCTTAATGTCACCGGGCAAACTGGAGTCAGGGAGAACCAGGTCTGAACGCAGGGTCTCCAGAGGTGACTCCCCTATCATGCTGACTGGGGACCCCCTCTGCCTCCCAAAACCCAACAAGCTCTGGCCCCGACATCTTAGTCCAGGCCTGAAGGCCCAGTTTCTAGGAGAAAGAAGTGGGCAGAGGCCCCGTTCTCCAAAACTTCTCTACCCTCATGCCTCTAAACACATGATTTCACTGATGAAGCTCCTCAACTTTCCTCCCCACTCCCCACATCCCATCCTGCCCCACAAACTGGGATGGCCAGGGAAGGGGGCCGCCTACCTCTCTGGCCTGGGGTATTGGGCTGTACCCAGTCAAGTGTGGGTACCACTGGGGGAACGCTGTCTCGACCAAGGCTGCAGGCTTCAAGGTCAGTGATACCTGGGCCCATCCTCCCAAGCACACGCAGGGCCCATCCTCCCAAGCACACGCAGGGCCCAGACAAAGGCAGCAACAAAGCAGCTGGACAAAGGCAAAGCGGCCAGCGGCCTCATTATTAACCCTATCCCCCACCCTATTACCCTTTCCTGGCCTTGATCCCCTATTCTACATAAGAGTCTGGTAAATAAGGGTATCAGGGACCCCCGCCTCGCCACACCCACTCACCCTTCTTAAAAAGCCCAAGAAGCGCCGGGAGGTGGCGGCCCAGGAACACCACCATGACTGCGGGCGCCACCTGGGACTGTTCCCTGTCTAACCTCTGGAACGCCGGGCGGCGCCTTCACCACAACCCAGCACTAAGAGGCTGCAAGCCGGCTCGCCCGGCCGCAGAGCGCCGGCTCCAGACAGAGGAGGGGGAGGGGCTGCTCTCCAGGTCCTCCTCCTACCTTTGCCACTGATCCCGCCTACCCACCGACCCCGCCCCTCAAGGGGAGGGGAGGGACATGAACCGCCCCAGACTCTGAGACAGAAACTGAGGCCGGGAGTCTGTGCGTGCCCTGCTCTGGAGAGAGAATAAGACCACCAGGTAAAAAGATTCTCAAATCCAGTGGCGGACCACTAACCCTGTCCCCAAGTCCTTGTCTAAATATTCAGGAGCCAGAGCTAGGGCAGGGGTCCCAGCTGACAGATGGTGGGTGGAGGGGCCACCAGACTAGGCTTGGCATGGTGCCCCCACCAGGCCCTCCTGGCTGGTGAGTATTCCCCTGGGGAAGAAGCTCAAAGCATGGAGCAGCCAGACAGGAGCCCAGGGCTGCCTGTGGGGATGGCAAGGCCATAAAGCTGAGGTCCCTGGAGGGATAGGGTCTGGCCCAGGACACAGTAAGTAATCTAGGGAGATGCCCAGAACAAAATCACAGTGGCTGGTGTGTTCGGCCCCACACTTTCCGAAGGACTTTCTTCCCACTTTGGCAATGTGACATTAGAGGCCCAGAGAAGCACAGTGAACTCTCCAAAATCACACAGCAGAGGTAGGACTTCAACACAGAACTTCTAGTCCCCTAGTTCAGAGTTTTTCCCATTGGCCCCATTCTGTGACTCGGTGACTCTGTGCTGGATCACCAGCCAGGGAGAACAGAATAAATCAAAAAACAACTCAAAGTGAGGGCAGAAGGCAGGGAAAGGGGAAGCACTGGGAGAGAAGTCAGATCCAGGGTCAAATCCAGCTCCAGCAAACACAAATCATGACCTCAGGTGGAAAAGAAGGCCAATAACTCTTCTTTATAACATTGTTGTAACCACTCAATCAGCAAATATTTATTAAGCTAGTATCAGGGGTTACAGCTAAGGAGAACCTTGTCTTGTTCACCAGCTCATCCCCAGCACCTAAATCAGTGCCTGGTACACGCTATGAGCTTAATAACTATTTGATGAATACACGAATGAAGTAAACTAACAGTAAAATTTCAGATAGTGAAGACTGAAAAAACACGGAGCTGGAACAGGAAGGGGGTACCTTTAGATAGACAGTCAAGGAAAGCCTCTAAGGAAAGGACATTTGAACTGAGATCTGAGCAGCCATGAGAAGGGCTGGGGGCAGAGCCTTCCAGGCAGAGGGAAACTGTGCACAGGCTGGAGGCAGGAGTGGTGGGTTTCCAGGGACAGAGAGGAGGCCAGTATGACTGGAGTATTGCGAGCCAGTCAGAGGATGACAGGAGATGAGGCCAGAGGAGGGCAGGGGCCAGGTCAGGCAGGGCCCCACAGACCTTGGAAGAGTCTGGATTTTATTCAAAGAACCCCAGGAGGTCAGTCACTCAGGGTTTAAGCTGAATAGTGACATCATTAAAAAGATCCCTCTGGCAACTCTGAACAGAGTAGCTGAGACTGTAGAAGAGACAGTAAACTATAAAGTGCTGCACTCCAAACTTGACTAAGACTACCCTTCCCTCACAGCACTCTTCCCTGAGTCCCTAGGATTACAGTGGCCCCCATGCTGAAAGACAAGACCCCTCTGCAGCTCCTTCCCATCTTAGGGACCACTCCATGCTCATGCACACAGCTCAGAACAAAGATTTGTGGAGCTAGGTAGTGTACGTCCACAGTCACACTGGCATCTAAACAACAATCTTAAGAACTAGGCAGTTTTATCCCCATTTTACAGATGATGAAATGGAGGCCAGAGAGGCCAAACATTATAAAGCTGGTAAGCGGTAGGGCAGCATTTACACTCCGGACCTGAGTCTAAAAGTCACGCATTGTCCACTGTGCGAAGTACAAACCTAATCTCTCTTCTGAAGAAGGGCCAAGGGCCCCACCATCCCTTCAAATTGGAGGTTCTTTGACCACATCCTCCCGTTACCCCTCTTAGGACAGACACACCCCCCTTATCAGTCCCACACAAACAGAAAACAGCAGCAGACTGACACTTCCAGGGTGATTAATTCATGCCAGGCACTGTGCCAGGTACTGGTGGAGGGCAAAGCACACAGTCTCTGCCCTCATGGATTCTACAAGCGCCCTTCAAGGCAAGGAGTCGAAGGTACTCTCCTAGTCATTGACCACAGACCTGTGAGGCTCAGAGAGTTAGATGACTTCCCAAGCACTGGCAGGCTCCAAAGTTGGAGTCTTTAGCCACGCAGGGCAGTCACCCTCAGCTTCCCCCATAAGCCACGGAAACTAAGGGCTGAGCTCCTGCTAAGTCACGGTGGGGAACGTCAGTTCATCAAGGTCCCAGGCCCACAGCTGGTGGTCAGGGCCACAGCTGCAAACTCACCATCTCAATCCAAGGCTCTTGTACTTGATAACATCTGGTTGCCCTGGCAACACCCCTCCCCCCAACTACCCACAGCCTAGCTGAAGGAGGATGTCCCTCTGAGCCACCTCATGCACAGGTCTACACGCCTGAGGCTTGCTTGGGGAGGGGCTCAGCAACCTCGGAGTCTCAGGTGGGTGGGGATGGGCATCTCAGAGAAAAGAAACTGAAGCCAGAGTGGCAGGACCTTGCTCAACGCCACGCTTAGAGCCCGTGTGCACAGTTCAGGGGTACAGCCCAGGGCTGAGGCGATGAGGGAAGCTCACCATGAAGCCTCAGTCTCTCCTCAGCCCCCACCTGCCTGAGGGAGGAGGCTTCCCAGATCTGAGAAGACACCCTGCTCCAGGCCATGCCCCACAACAGCAGGACACATCAGGAAGCACCCAAGCAAGTTCCTGAGCTCAGGTACAGTCCAATGGGGCAGGCGCAGGGCATGTACCTACAGAATGCCCCACTAGGGCTACCTCTACCGGTGTGCACTCTCAGAAGCA